AAAACCCTTTCCGAAACTGGAATCGACTCGAGAAAATAGAGGATGACCCATAGTAAGCAAGCGTCTGAGGGCCTCCACGACGAGTTGGTCGACTCGAAGACGCTCGAGGTGGCCGGGATGATCGGCGTGTTCGATGAGAATGGGAGCGAGAGGCCCGTTTGGTGGACTGGTCCGACACGGCAAAGTCTGTGTGATCTTTATCAGGTATTTCTTTAACCGTTTTCCTTAATGTGGTGGCACTCGCTGGCTTCTTAATCTTGATGAGATCAGCTTGTTGACGATACTAACTGTAGTAATGGCCTCTTACTTTTCTATACATTCTTCTTAAAAACAATTTGATGAATGATTCAGACACTTTTTGTGTGGTTATTGTCAGGATTACTTGGCCGCTTTGAAGGGTCTGGTCAGCCAACAACCCATTGGAGATAAGAAGATCGTCGTGATTGGATGTGGCCATTGGTCGGTCATCAAATCCTACAAAGGTACATACATGCTTATTTACAAACATTCAAGATAAATAAGATTTCTGGACAGTTTGATAACTTACTAATGGTTGGATACCTTCATTCTTTTCGTAAAAACGTAGAACTATTAGGAGAATGTCCCTTCGATTTCTATTCCGATAACAGTACCAATCTGTTCAACTCCTTAGGAATGATGTGAGTCCGATTTACGAGTCGACTGTTGACCATTATGTATGTATTAAAGCTGATTGAATCTCGAATATTGACTGGACTTTCCCAATGATCGCAGCTCCAAGTTCGATGCCGGTAACCCAAAGACTCAAGGACATTATATCACTCAGAGCTTCACGAATACCGTCGTCAACTCACTAGTCGTTTGTCACTTTTTTCAATCACTCTCTTTCTCTCTTGCAATTCTCAATACTGATGATCATCCATTTCTATACCTGTCTGTAGAATGGCTGGAAGATGGGAACAGGTACATTCCTTCGTAGTGGGAAGATCGCCCAACTGGGTGGTGATTTTGTCTTCGTCGGTCAGTGAACGAATAGCTTATTTTTCCAGGTTTTGTGATTCAACGATTGTATTCTTGAGGTATGAACTGATATCCGTTTTTCATCTCTTCGGAATCGATCCTATCTTTTGGATGGAACATCAAAATCAGACGGAAATTGTGTGCTTGCTCATAGGTAAGTCCTGCCTTCTCATTCAAAGTACTCTCGGCTGAATATTGATGGTTCTGATGTTTGTCACAATTCATAGGATGAGAACTGCCAGGGATCACTTGGAGCCTGATGAACTCTTGGAACGATTCGCCAAGCTTTCTTCTTGATCAGATCTCATTCCTCCCTCCACTGTACCAACCATCCATGTACATAATTCCCAGTTTCCTGATTCACCGATCATGTATTATATCGTCTCTTTCGAGGGAAAGCACGTTTCGTCTGTTTCTTTTTTTTTTTTTCTTGCTTTTGGATTTATGATTGCACTATGGCTTGGCTTCTTGAATGGAAACAACGAAATCAAACATGAATCCGTTTTTGGTTTTTTGGTTTTGTGCTATCAGTGGGTGAGGATGTGTTGGATGTTGTTTGAGGATGGATATGTACAGATCTGATGAGGCTTATCTGCTGGGTATGTATGCTTGGACAGTCTCCCAGGCCCAGCGGAGTCTTCCCCCCGGATCACAGCAAACCACCACCAACACCCAACATGGAACCACCAACAACAACCACCACCACCAGCTCACCAACCAAACCACACAAGAACACACAGGCCATCGATCCACCTGCCACTCCCTCAAACAATCGCCGGAGCCTCAAATGGTACTCATCCATCGACCAGGCATTCCATCCAACCGAGCACCTCATTCCACCCGAGACCAGAGAACGGTTTTACTTGGTACGCTCTTAGTAGCCCAAACACTCCAAAGATCGGAGCAAGAGCGATAGCTGACTGGGTATCTATGTTTGTGTGTGTGTGTGTGTTTTCAGGATCTGTACTTATTAACACCTGATAAGGAGAATCTGAGGGATCACTTGGACCGGCTCACCGTCCACGAACTGCTTGGCGTATATAGGCAGAACTTGAACGACCTGATCGGCTATGGGATTCGTTGTCTCAAGAACGCTACCCTACTCGACAGTGGCCCTCCTCAACAACCTATTCAGCCTTCACCAGTCGATCATCCATCCGAAGACCCTGCCCTTAATGACCTCAACGAAGTCGATCAGATTCGACTATCCAACGCTTTAGAGGTACTTCACACGCAAAAACAAACAAACAATGATCACACAACAAACAAACAAAAAACCATCCTTATTGAAGAAACTGACTGGTGGACACGTCCATGTAGACATTGTCGGCAATCTTCAAAACGATCGTGAACAAAGATGGATACGAAAATTTGAACCTCGATCTGATCAGTTTGATTGCTGGTTCGATCGATAACAGTGATCCGGTGTTCTCGGTTTGGGTCCCTCTTCCATTCTCAGGGCTTGCCGAGGACGGTCAATGCTGATACTCTCATTTAATTGGATCCAGGATTTTGTTTATAGTATTGATAAGATTCTCTCGGATCAAAATCAGTCATGTCCGTCTTTGCTTTCTTTTCTATTGACAGAGTTTGAGGAGAACATTTATCATGGTCGACATTTTCAGTGCGAACCCGTCATCGAACTCTCCAGCTAGCTTTGTCCGTCGTCTCTGGTGTCAATCAGGGCTCCATCAATGCGTACTTCTTGCGAAGAGATTTGTTCAACACGATCGCCTCGGTGGGCATATTCCTACTCAAGATTTCTTGAACCCTAGACCGCTTTCTCATACATTTCGTGATCTTCCCAATCGAAATCGAGACAGCTGGTTGCAAACCCCAAGACGGTCTCGTTGGTCTTCGATAGCGTCTTGCTCTTGGATCTCTTGGCAAACTTCAGACGCTTCGAATCTCGTAACCCATATCTGGTCAGGATGGAAGATTACGTAGACGAGAAAGCGATGGAAAGGATCGTCAGTCTGAGCATCCTAGCACTTGAGGATTTGAGAGTGTGAGTCGGTAACCATTGGATATGGATCCTCAGAAGTTTGACCTAATGTATCCTTTTTTTTCTTTTTTCAAGAGCTTATCAGGATATCAATGCTTCGAAAAATGCAAACTCCTCATTACTAGGACAAGTTACGAGCACAGTCTTCAACGTTTTGGCTAGTCCCTTGTCGAAACGAACCAGCTCACCCAGTCGGCCGATGAATCAAGCCTTCGACAGCCATCCGGGTCGACCGACTTGCATCCTTCTGCCAATCTACGACCTCCTCTGCTCGAATACGACATTCTTTAACGTACTCCTTCTGAGCAAACCATTCTGGGAAAGCTTTCTCTCCTTTTCTAGCTATTTACTCTCACATGCTAGCTCAAGTCCTCGCTCGGAGCTCTACGGAAGACTTATCCTTGTCATCCTTATACATCTTGCCGAGGAGGCTCAGAAGTTCATCTGTGGTGCCACTGAGGAATCCTTTCAAGTTACGGTTGAGTTTTGTCCTGATGTAAGTGGAGAAAATGAATGCGTCTTGGGTAATGCCTCAAGAATGCTAGTGTTTATTGTTTTTAATGAATGCGGACCGTAGAGGCAACCTCCACTAGGACCGAGCTCAGATCTAGCAAGAGCACCAATAGCCGCGATGTTAGACTGTGGAATCCTATATCTGCGGCACAATCTACAGAGAAAGTTGAAGATCGAGACACACCTGGTCTGTCTCCGTCTGATCCACGAGCTATTGTTCTGTTTGCAATCCCATCAGGTGCGACTCGAAGGATTTGATTGGAGGGAGCTGTGGAGGGCCCTGTTCTCCCTTGCGAGTCGCGTCGGCTCGAGGATCGACGAGCTCAAGACCGTCCAGGACATCGATCGACTTGCTCAACAGGTCAGCTTGTCTCACTTGATATATTCTTCCGATCCGCCTGTACTATAATTGCTTTGTTGCATTTCAAATAATGAATCCTAATATATAAAAAAAACAGATTCTTGATATCTTATCGTTTGCGGCAATTTGGTCGGAGGTTTTATTTCCGGACAATCTGACGACGGCGATCCTATATTTTGAAATCCTGAGATCGGAGGAGACGATCAAGAACTTAGTCACCGTCGCCAACATCAGCAGTGGAGTGAATGGAACTAACAATAACAGCCATAGCGACAGTTTGGGGAGGAAGTCCAGCTTGATTAATAATGGGAGTGGTGGTGGCAGTAGTAGTAATCTAGGCGTCAGTACGATCGAGTCGGTCAAGAACTTGAACACGATCATCAGCAAATCCAAATGGATCCTCGAACAATCCAAGCACGCCAAATACAAACCGGCGGGGCCCGCATCATCGAAGCCGGCGTTCAACTTCCTCTTCTCCTCCTCCTCCAGCTCTAGTACCCACACCACCGCTCAACCCCAAGACAGTAGCAATAGTCCGGCTGGAAATCCTTCTGCTTCGTCGTCGTCGTCTGCGCTCGTCATCAGCTCCGCAGAGGATTGTCTCAATTTGCTCCAGAATCGACTGCATGAAATCGGCTTGATCGATTCGGCTTCGTTAGACAATCATCTCAGGAAGTTGAGTCTTTTTTCCCCTTCCTTTCTCCCTGTCTATCTCTTCCCTTACGTTAAGAAATCTCGATAGTGTTTTTGTTTGGTCGTTGGTTTACTGATGTATACCATTTTCCTTATTCAATTGGATCGCACACACACACACTCTCTCTGATCTGTTTACTCGGTCGTCACTGTTTACCAATTCTTGGTGTGGTATGATTAATGGTTGTTGTGAATCAGGTATAGTGAGGCTGATAAGACCGAAGATCTCAAGAAATTCATCGCTCTAGTCGCCGGTGATGTCTTTCAATTAATGGTCCTATGACCACCATCCCCTAGTCTTCTTCGTCTTCTTTTTCTTTTTTTTTTCCAATACTTTATTCACAACTCGATTCGGTTTTTCTACTTTCTTTATAAAAAAAATCACTTGCGCGTTCTCGTCCTTCTCGTTGTACTCAAGTCCTATCTTGACGCTGTATTGCTTTTGTTTTTCCTCAATGGTTTGACTCAACTATATATATACATGCAACTATTTATTCTGCTCGTTCTATCCGCTCTCATTTATTGGTGTTGTGTGTATGTGTGCAATCTATCTGCTACAACAATGGAGAGGGGGGTGAAGAAGCCTGTAAACGGCACTCAGCCCTTCCCCGTGCAGCCATCAAAACGGGCCGTGGCAGGCCATGGCTCATGACAACACACAGGAAGACGATACATGCACTATATGTGTTCAGCTTACATCCTCGCGGAAATCGCTCATTTCCTCGACGAAGACCAGCGAAGACCGATGGCCGCACCGGCAACTAGCTATCGGAACTGTATCCCATCTTCAAAACAATAATCGCGCATGAATTGTGCACCAAGCCGAATGGGGTCGGAAGGTTGGTTATTTGTCTCGACGCCGCGGTCTACGACACTTGGAGACAATTACACCCTGATGGGTGTTCGTGTCTTCCCTGGCTTGCATACATGCCCTACGCTGCTGAGAGTATGTAACCGCTGAGAGGGCCATGCTGGGATTCAGGCACTAGCTTCCTAAATTGTTCACTTACACCCAAACTTCATCCCTCAAGGTCACACTATGCTTCAGCTTGACGCGCTCTTAAATAGAGCCGATGTCGGCATAGTGGGACCGGGCAGAAAATCCATCCTGTTCCATAGAGAAGTCTTATCCAGTTCAAAAACCATCGCTCACCTGTTAATAGATACGAAATCATCCATCCACTAGTCACCTGTTCCTTGCCAATTCCACACAAGAAAATGTTATTCAGCATGCAATTCTGGCAGCTTCTGGTTCTGGTTTCCCAGCTAGGCATGATAGCCGCCGTTCCGAACCAGCACGCAGTCCGAAACTCCAACACCGCGGTGGCATTCATGAAGGGTGCCGGGGGACTGAAGGGGGTGTTTGTGTTTGTGCCTGAAGGCAATACCATCAAGATGTCGATCGAGTATTCCGGAGTGCCTGAAGGGCAGTCATTCGCCTATCACAGTGAGTCTATTCACATCCATCACCCTTCCTAGTCCTACACTCTATCGAGAAAACATCGCTCATGATCATCACGTCTCTCCAATTCAGTCCACGAAAAGGCCTATACCAATGGCAATTGCGGTTCCGGTGGTGGTTTCTGGAACCCCACCAGGTCTACCATGAAGGCTCCGGGCTCCTGCGTTGCTCATGCACCTGGACATTGTGCATCAGGAGTAAATTCGATCTTCTTTCTTCCCGTCTTTTGTCAACTACGGATCTGTTGCTAATTGCAACATACTAACTTCTGATTTGGAACCTCTCCTACGTTGCCAGGACCTGTCGGGTAAACACGGCAAGTTGGTCGGCCATGGCGCCAAGTCAACGTCCTTGCGAATCTTCGACCCCAGCTTGAAGATCACCGGCTCCAGCCAAGGCATCATCGGCAAGACCTTGATGATCCACAACGCCGAGGGGACCCCCGTCGCCTGTGGTAAGCAACCTCACTTTCCCCCATAATCATATCGATTTTTATCATTAATCTGTCTCTCCCCTCCCCCCCAGACATCATCGCGCACAAAGCTTAAGCTGCTCCAAAACGCCCATCCGCCGCGATTCTGGAACCCAATCAAGGCCTTGAACCGACCCAGTCTTTCCCTTTCAACCGTCTGCCAATCTATCAAGCTACTCGCCACTTGGCATCTCTGCTCTATGCCTTGATTTTCTTGTGTATATCATTTTCCTCGGCATCGGTACTCTCACATCTCCCCCCCCTCCTCTTCCTTCCTTATTCGAGACTTTTGTAATAGTATTATCATCCTCAACTCACCTGTAAAAACATCCCCAACATGCATTTCAAAAACACAATCATCATTTTTTTGAAGTCGCATAAATCAACGTTGTGTTGACGAAGGCTTTGCTCAGGTCGGCTGAGGTTGATGGGCATATACCATTTGAGGCGAAATTGCGGGCAAGGATGAGTTCAAGTCGCTCCCTTATCATAAAGCCAGCCTTACACAACATGGGGGTTGGATACTGCAGACCAGTCCGCAAATGAAGTTCTGCCTGCAGATCACATGTGCACGTCTTCCCAAGTAAATTATCTCACTATCCCTCCCGAAAGCCTGGTTTTCACAAACCAACGTGAGAGGACCCCGGCAAGCCCCCCAATAGGGGGGTGTTGGAAAAGGTATGGCAAATGGGCAAAAATTCCAAAAACCTACTCTTGAGAAAGCTCAAAAAAGGCATGAATTAGTAATTTGGACCAAAAACATACTCTTGAAATCACTCATTTTAGGTATGTGAAACTGGTCAAGACCAGTAAGCTCTGGAATTTGGACCCCAAACCCAGCAGCTTTTTGGGAAAACCCCTCTTTTGGGGGATTTTTGGCATAAGCATACTCTTGAAAAGGTATGAATTTCCCAAAAAAACAGGTATGAATTTTGCCCAAATCTGAACCTTTTTAACACCCCCCTCTTGGGGGGCTTGCCGGGGTCCTAACGTGATCCAATTCTCTTCCCTATTAAGCAATGCTTTTGATGTATATGACAACTAGTAAACATGATGATTAAATTAAACCACTACCAAATACATCTATGACACCCATGTCATAAGGAAGATGATAGAGGGTGTGGGGGATAAAGTGAATGAGCTGATACAACATGTATGTAATCAGAAGTCGAATTGGATTATGTCCTTTTCTTCAATTTTTTTTTTCGTCGGGTAAGAAAACCCATGTCATTTCATTAAGCAAGTGCTGAAACAGCTGTATGTTATCAACCATCAGACCTCGTCTACGTTTTTATCATCTGAGGAAGACCCTGAGGGAACGATCGTACCTGTGGGAAGGAGCACGTTAATTTTCGAGAAGAAAGAAAAAGTCGTTGTGGCAAGCATAAACAACAAGACAATCAATCGACTTACCACAGGCCAGTCTTGTCTTATTTGGCCCATGAATCACGATGCTTCGATATAAAATCCCATCCATCGTCTGAGAAAGCTTTAGGGAACTGTCTTCGTAAGTTGTTCTGAATTCATTTGCGCGGCTTTCAAGGTTTCCATGTTTTCCTGACAAGTCCTTTGTTCGACCAAATTCCAGACAGATCCAAAACAGCATGTGCGTTAGTATAGATTAGAAACGTGAGGAAAAGGGCTTCAGATGATCAAGAGTCATCTGCTGGCAAAAATCGACTCACCCCGACTTCACACAACGTGGGGTTGGCGGGATCGCAATGTTCCGCTGTGGCGTTGGTAGGATTAAAATGAGGTCCAGTTGAGGTGCAGCTGCCATATTTTGCGGAACTGTATGTGTGGACTGCAGTTTAGGATAGAAAGAGCACCATGAGACTCCAGGGAGGTTCAACTGATGATCACCCAAAATGATCAAATCACCCACTGTGGTAAGGATTGTTGAAGCCATCCTTCAGACCAGTCACAACGACGTTGACTCTGCTGGTGGAACTAATCGGGTTGTAGGAGAACTGGAAATGAGCGGTTATCCCCGAGCCAGTAAAGGAGGCCATGGCCATAGTTTCGCTCGGAATGTCGGTACTAGATGAGACCGCGCCTGTGGGGTCGCTTAAAGCGCCCTCGGGACCTACTGTGCTGGGCAAGCTGAGACCTTGTACCATGCCGAGCACCGACAAGCAGAGGACTGTCTGCAATGAGAAGCGGGGGCCAAAAGAAAACATCTGTTTTTATTATTGAGGAAGTCAAAGAATTAAGTGGTCAGAGAAAATGTGATTAAGGGAGGGTTGGTATGATAATGGGGGGACAAAGGCTAATGTTGACCAGACTTCACCCTTATATGTGTGTCACCAGATTGTTGCGAGGTGAGATCAGATCCATCCTTACAGATCGCAACATGATGCAAATCTGGCAATCCAGTCGCAACATAAAGAGGAGATGTGTAAGATGTCAGTAATACTCCACACTCAACAACACGAATCGCGAAAAAGCCTCGGAGGATAGATCTTGCTGCACAACCGGTTTGACTGGCGCTATCAACCGTCCAACAAAGCCGATCCAATCTCACACATTGGTCTCTCCATCTCTGAAGAAACCCGGAAGTTTGCACCATGGCAAGCACATTATTTAGTGCCAACGGAGGTACCGTGAGGTCATCACGGAGTGTGCCAAGAATATGACGCGTTGACATCACCATCGATTATCCTCATGCTCGGAGACAACTTGGCCTTTCCCAGTTTTTCCATTGTAGATGATGATATATAATGAGAACACCAGCCCGGCCAACTCATGGGGACGAATCAAAGAGGGAAGTGATCATGAGCCAAAGAAAGAAATCCAAGATTTGTCCCTTGATTATCATCTCTTCTCGACAATTATTCCAGAATAGGCCAATGAGGAAGTCGGGGCAAGTCATAACGAAACTGCACAGACTTGCTCATGCCACGGAGTTCCGCTTATACTTTACGAAAATGAATGGCCAGTCGAGAAAACTGACCCTGGCCACTTTCCCATTTGTATCTTTTCAAGAATCGCCGAAGATAAATCAAGACGGCCCCTTCGGATTTATCTAAAAGTAAAACCTTTCGACTCATGCCATGGAACAACATCCATCCTACGGATGCAGCAGGATTCCGGACTAGACGACCACCACTTGAGGACTGGCGTCAAGTTGTATGTGCTTGAGTCAAGGGGTATGTTATGTAACGGTGGAATAGAGTCGCCTACATAGAAAATCGGGTTACCGGGCCCCGGGGTGAAATAGTGTTTGAATGTCGAAGCCGGCTGCAAACAATCGCATCTCAAATAACCGACAAGTCGGACCAATTGCTTGCAAGCTTCTAATGAAAAAAAAAAAAAAAAAAAAAAAAAAAAAAAAAACCCTGACCAATTCAACCCTCCCGTTACATGCCCTGATTTTTGAAAGTAATATTTTCTCGTACTGTCTGTTCGTAAAATGCAACCAACGGACCACTCCTTCGGCCAAGGCAACTCTCAATGAACCTTTTGTGAGTTCAACCAGTGGTTTTTTCTTCAAATGAATGACTCATTAATGAATGGATTGGAAGTCGGATTGCTCAATAAAATCCGGGAGGAGCTACGTAATTCAAGGCAGATACCGAAACCGTGATTCGTGCTCTTTACCCTTTTTGTATCGTTCCAGGAATGAATGCTGTTACCACTCAATATGATTGCCGAGCATGGATCCAGAAGCAATTGTTCATCCGGGGAAGTTCAGTCACCGAGATGAAGCGCGTTTATTCGGCCAGAAAACTCGAGCAACCCGGGTCGGAGTCCAATCGACCGAGGAGTTCGGCATAAGTTTTGAAAGTAGTTAAAAGGTCGACACACATAGTAGACGAATGTCGGGAGTCGAGGGACAATCAAGTGTCTGCAATGCTTCAATGAAAAAACCACTAGCTAAGACAACTGTTCAAGTTAAAAATTAATAGCACCCGCTGACCGCTTAGCTACCAAAGCCAAAACAGGTGTATCAGTACATGACCATCCCAATGGTAACTTCGAAATTCGCGCATCATCACCGTAATATATAAACGCTGGCTTGTGCTGGTATTTCGGTCCCTCCTTGATGCCGGCCAAGAAAAGCTTTTCTCCACTTTTGCTCACACTGATATTTGAAGTAAATACTTGAAATTTACAGCAAGATATCTTAAATAAATAGTTTCCTCGCACTACAATCACCAATCCAAATTATAAGAAATTTCAGTCAACATCTTCTCCTCATTATAATTGTTCCCCAGCGACCTAAAGTACCATTCCACACCTATTTCGGGCATAATTTTCTTGTTGCTTGTCAAGTTGTAGCCAGTATGAATCTTCGAATCCCAAATTCAGCGAATTTCATGGGGCTCTTGTTGTTTGGTATTGCCTTTGTTCCAGACATACTCCGTGCACAACCGCCATTGCCGCCAACTAAACCGCCAGGCAGACCACCTACAAGATTCCCCTGCACAGAGGCTTCAGTTTTAATTAATGGACTACAGGGAATCACAGGGACAGCATTCTTCAAGCCAAATGTGGGAAGGAATCGGGGAATTGACTTCAAAATCTCATTGAATGGCTTGCAAAGGGTAGAGAATCACAAATATCATGGTGAGCAACTGACTACTTAGTGAATTTATGGTCCAAAACCACTTACCAATTCCCTCTTGCTTTCAATCTAGTTCATGAATTTGCCTTAACCCCCGGAGGTGGTTGTAAATCGGCAGGTAAAAACTTTAATCCAACAAAGAAGCCAATTCCCTGTCCCGCCAATTCACCTCAAAGTGCCTGTGCAATTGGTGTAAGTTAAAAATACCCAAATGATCAATTTGAGATTCTGATCAATAACTGATTTTTATTCATTTTTGAATATCTGATTGAAATTTGCAGGATTTGTCAGCAAAAGGAGGATCTTTGAAACCTGCAACTGCTGGTGCTACAGTGGGTACTGAATACCTTGACACAGTCTTGAAATTTTCAGACATTCAGGGAAGAAGTCTTGTCATTCATGATCAAGGCGGTGATTATATTGCTTGTGGTGAGAACTCTTTCAAATTGACTTGATTTATTTTGATTATCTGATTTGTTTGTTCTCATTTTTGAAGGTGATATTGTGTGCAAACAAAACTAAGATTTCAAGTTCTTAATAATAGCCAACTCCATGATTTTTTTTCTTCCATAAATCATGAAAGATTTATTAAGTTTCATAAATCGAAACAGTTACACTTTTCTGCATACTAGAGATTAATTTTCTATACGTTTTCCTTAGTTCAACCCTCAATTAACTTTTCAGTTGTTATTTTTTGTCATGAAGTGAGTATGGTTTAGTTGCAGGGACGCCAATGTCCATTTTAATAAGAATTTCCAGAGAATTCTTTCATGTAAAATAATATTATCTTTTTGATCAGATCAAGTTTTTCATATTTGCTTGAACAAATTTCAGTATTTCCAGAAATACATGATATCAGACTTGATTGTCTTCATTGTAAGATTTCAAGGCTGAATGAAGAGAATTTGTGTTGTATTTTTAGATATAAATTTGACCTGAAATTGATTCTATTTTTTTAATCAAGTCTGGCGTAGAATTTGGTAGAAACTCTGACAAAATCCTAGGGAGGAGTTTAGTTTTAGGTTTCTTAACAGCCAAGAAGGAAATAAAAAATGGGGAGAACTCAATCATTTAGGCATGATCCAAGATTGCTCATTTATATGTGTATGTACAAACTTCAATTTATCTGTATGCATTCAATGCATTCCATGTGATAGCATGCTGAATAAGGTATATTAGAAAGACCACATTGCCACTGCATGACTTCCTGTTGCAACTTGCAAACCTCCCAGAATTTAATTTTCACCCCCTAGATCCTAATTTTTTGTTAAAAGAATATTTCTCACCAGCCTTGTAGAAGCAAACTTAATTGACTTATAATTCCCTCATTGCCTGAGTCTTCTACCAGAGGGACTTATGACTTATAAGGATTTCTGTCATGAGAGTTTTTTCAGTTTTGGTGGTGTTTAGCTTTGAACCTCCAGAACGCACCCTAGATAATACCTAAATTTCTAATTTTTCAGTATATTATTGGCCTACTTCTTTGCTCGCTTCTGATACAATTTGAGGACACATCACCCATCTCTTCATGTTTTCACTTCTTTTTCATTTTTCTAAAATTTTGGATGTCTTTTTTGATACTGACCAGATGACAAGACAATTGTCTGTGTGCACTCACTAAATCAATTGGAATAGATTTAGGGCATTAATAAAAAAACACGGTTTTTCCGCGTTTACACACGGTTTTGCTGCGGCACCTATGGCTTGATTGTACATTATTTGAAAAAAAATGTGTAGAAAAAAAAACAATAAATGTAGGGCATTAATAAAAAAACACGGTTTTTCCGCGTTCAAACACGGTTTCGTAATTAATTTTTTATGGGTTATTTTTTGAGTTTTTTTGAATTTTTAAAATTGTTTCCTAGGTTTCAAAGCGCGTAGAATTTAATGGTAAAAACCATTTTCCATAAAAATGAGTTTTAATTATTAATTATTTTTTTTCACTCATTTCTAAATTAATTGTTTGCATACATGTATGTACCTTATTTTTTATGTTTTTTTGAAATTTTAAATTTATTTCCTAGGTTTTAATGTGCGTAGAATTTAATGGCCCAATTTTTTTTAAAACTCAACAGTTCACTTTTGATACTCAAATTACACCCATTTTTTCACTTAAAGTTTTAGAGCTTAATTTTCATTCTTTTTTGACATTTTAAATTTTTTCCTACACTTTCAGACATGTATAAATTTATGGTAAAAATAATTTTGCACCAAAATGAGAACTACATCTTGTATACTGCATTTGACACCGTTTTGTTTATTTAATTCTTCACTTTTTCACTCAATTGTTTGCATTGGTTTTTTTACCTTATATTTCATGCTTTTTTGAAATTTTAAAGTTGTTTCCTACATTTCAAAGTGTTTAGAATTTAATGGTAACATTCAATTTCCATAAAAATCAACGGTTCATTCTGAATACTGTAATTGGTCTTAAAATTCAATTGATTTTTAAGAGCTTGATTTTCATTATTCTTTGACATTTTAAATTTGTTTCCTACACTTTCAGACATGTATAGAATTATGGTATCAATCAATTTGCATCAAAATAAAAACTGTACCTTGAATAATGCCTTTGACATGTTTCTTTAATTAATTCTCACACGCTTAATTATCCTTATTTTATGTACTTTCAAGTTCATTTCCTACACTTTGAAAGGTTTTCAAATTGTTGGCTGTATCCATTTTGCATTCAAATAAAATTTGTATACAGTACAAATTATGCAAGAAACGGTGTACACTCTTATATTAAGATTGAAGCTTCAAATTTTATGAAAATTGGACTTCACCAATCAATTCTAAACATTTTTAAATGTAGGAAATCAATTTAAAATTCCAAAAAATGATTGAAATCAAGCCAGTAAAAATTAATTCAAAAAACATTAAAAAAAACCTGTCCAACACAGTATTCATTACCAATCTTTTGTTTTTATGCAAAATGATTTTTACCATCATTTTGAACATGTCTTGAAGTGTAGGAAAAAAATTTGAAATGTCAAAAAAGAATGAAAATTAAGCTCTAAAACTTCAAGTGAAAAAATGGGTGTAATTTGAGTATTAAAAGTGAACCGTTGAGTTTTGAAAAAATCGGATTGCGCCATTAAATCCTACGCATATTCAAGCCTAGTAAACAAATTTAAAATTTCAAAAAAACATAAAAAATAAGGTACATACATGTATGCAAACAATTAATTGAGAAATGAGTGAAAAAAAAAAAAAAATTAAAACTCATTTTTATGGAAAATGGGTTTTACCATTAAATTCCACGCGCTTTGAAACCTAGGAAACAATTTTAAAAATTCAAAAAAACTCAAAAAATAAGCCATAAAAATTAATTACAAAACCGTGCCTTCGAGTAAGCGAAACCGCGTGCGCTGTGCCGCAGCAAAACCGCGTGTAAACGCGGAAAAACCGTGGTTGTTTTATTAATGCCCTACATGTGTTGTTTTTTTTTCTACACATTTTTTTTTCAAATAATGTACAATCAAGCCATAACAAACCACAAAAATACATAAATTGAAGCAAAGAAGGATGTGATCTAGGAAAAATGAATCTTGGGTGTAAGTCTTGAAAGTTTCACAAGTCAGGAGGATTGTAAAAAAAGAGGGCCAAAGTATCTGGAAGTCTCATGCCAGAAATCCTGATAAGTCACAAGTCCCTCTGGCAGAAGCCTCAGGCAAGGAGGGACTTGGTCAAGTTTGTTGTAGAAGGAGCTCCCATGTGAGCTGGTTTTAATTATGATTGGGGTGTTGATTTAGGTCTTAGAAGGGCTGAAAAGGCATTCCAAATGGTGATGAGAAGTCTTTCACCCTTTCCTTGAGTGATCATCAGACAGCCAATTCCAAGGGTTATTCTAACCGCGCGAATAGTGTGATCAGATATTCGGGTGGTCGAGGTGAATACATTTTGATGTTTGCTGAATTGGAGGAAGTGGTATTCCGAGAAACCGACAAGTGGGGGCAATTTTTTGTAACCCTAGGGCAGGTAGCAAAACCCGTATCCAAAGTCAGCCATCCGCTGACAACTGAACAACTCTCGTTGTTACTACCCATGAGGCTGCCAACCGGCGAACTGCTACTTTGTCTGAGTCAACGTTCAGTGGATCTGTCAGTGCGCCCAATTGCTTTGTCTTCTAATGAATAAATGGCATTAATGAATGAATCGGGTTGATGATGAAATTTGGCGGGGGTGCTGTGTAAGTCAAGGTAGATACAGAAACCATCACTTGTGTTCTTTGCCCGTTGTGCATGGTCGAGCTCAAAAATCCTATATTATGTGGTGCTTCCAAGTCAGCTGGAAACGTGAGTGTTCCAATCGATCGAGTAGTTTGAAATGGTCGAAAGGTCGACACAGATGGTAGGCAAACGCCGGGAGTGAAGAAAGAAGGAAGCAATTGCAACCTCCAGATGAAAGTCCCCCGATCTTAGGACAACTGTTGAACTAGTCAAACGTCGACAGCACCCGATGGCCGCTTGGCTACCAAACCCGAGCCGACATCAGTCACTGCACAATGGGCGTCTTCCTACATCAACGCTCCGGTGAGCTGCGCTGATTTTGCGAGCGCAAAATTCCCTCATCCACATTATAAATATATTATAACTGCTGGCTATTGCAAGTAACTTGATCACATCCTCTATCACCAAGCAGAGCATTTTCAGTACCTCGTTTCCCACCATATCTTGCAATATTCCTAGTAAATCGTTGTCTGTACCAAAAATCATTCAAGCCGATAGTTTTCTTCACCATAGTCACCAATCTGCACCTGGGAAGATATTTTAATAAGAAACTTATCCGCGCGGTAAATAACCAATCACAGTGTTACAACCCTATTTTGTGTACATTTATATTTTAGTATCATGAATCTTAATTCAGTTAGTGGTCTCAGTCTATTGCTGTTAACTTTTGCCTGTGTTCCAGCCATTGTCCGGGCGCCAACACCAAAGCCTGCACCAAAGCCGCAGCCCACCCCGGCCTGCTCGCAGGCTTCAGTCCAGATTACCGGAATATATGGTATCACCGGGTCGGCGACCTTCAAGCCGACGACGAAGAGCCCTAAGGGTATTGATGTCTCAATATCAGTAACTGGTTTGAGACAACAACAACATACATATCATAGTCAGCTCCTGCTTACCTACTTGAATTATTATCATTGAAAATCACTTACCGAGTTCCTATTCCTTTCAATACAGTTCATATAAATGCCGCCGACATCAGTAATTGTAATTCGGCAGGTAAAAACTATGACCCAACAAACCTTAAAAAGCTCAATAATTGTCCTGGAGGTAGAATCGAGAATCAAAATAAATGTGAAGTTGGTGTAAGTTAACATTCCTCCGAGATCACTGGGAAGTTGTAATCAATTACTTATCCTTATCCAATTGAAAATTTAGGATCTGTCTGGTAAAGGTGGATTCTTAGCACCTGATCAGGCTGGCGCGACAGTTTCAAAAGCATACACGGACACAATCTTACAATTTTCAGACATTAAGGGGAGAAGTCTTGTTATTCATGATGCCAAAGGGGATTTCATTGCTTGTGGTGAGAATTGTTTCATATTTGTTTGGATTATTTGAATTTTCTGACTTTTTTTTTTCTGCCCCAGGCAATGTTGTCTGCCAACCCTAAGATTCTTGAAATCTAAATCATCGTCCCCATGATCAAATTTTTGTATCAGAAACATCCTTAATGTTTTTTTATCTCTCATATCTGATTCGTGCACAGTTGTCACCACAGTGTTCCTAATCCCCATTTATTCTTCTGAAGTTTCAAGTTGCTGTTATACTTTAATAGGTCCATTTGAATCTGTGAAGGCTCATTGATTACCATTTTGAAAATAGTATTATAACACATGTTCTCTATCAGTTGTGATTTCTCTTTTTCAGAAAGAGAAATAACCATTTCAACCCTGTATAAACACATCCAATGTATGAAGTATTTGTACATGATTGTATATGTAAATGGAGCTCAGCAGAAAATGATTTCTTCTTCCTTCGCACAAGATTTGCTGCTTTTTATTTTTTTTATTTTTACTACATGAGGGAGTGACGGCCAAGAGCGATGAATGAGAATGGCAGAAGAGTGTTGTTGCACATATTATTGAGTTATCAAAAAGATTTGATGACAAAAATGTATAGGCAAAACGGCCTGCAAGAGCTGATTCCAATTGAACTTGAGAGTAAGATCCCAGCCTTTCTGTGAAAATAGGTATCTGATCACAGATTGCCAAGGTATGAGGATACCGATGGCCGTAAACTAAAGAGGATTGATATTTCCAAACCAAATATAATTCATGAATTTCCAACGTGAGTCAAGAATTCTGGCAAAAGTGTTGCCCTTTTTTTCGTGTTTCCCATAATGATCTCAAGGCTGGGTTAATGGATCCGGTAATGAGGACCCAACCGGTGAACCATTTCTTCGTTTGAGTCAACACTCAATGAACCTTTCTGTGCACCCAACTGTTGACCCTTGCAACGGTTAGCTTAAGTTACATGAACGAATGGTCTGGACTGATTAATAAACTTCTTGTCAAGCTACGTAAGTGGAGGTAGACACCGAGCCCACTTTGTGGATTCTTTATCCATTGTGCATTGTTGTCGAATCTCAGGCTGCATAGGCTCATAGCTACCAGCTACTTTGACCAAGCCTGGTGCTGGGGTGTTCCAGCGGGAGCAGTGCAGTCGCCGAAAGGCTCGTTTGGTCGAGCTGAAAACTCGGTTATCATTAATCGGAAGTTAGCCGGAAGCATGGGCGTTCCAATCGACCGAGAAGTTGGGCCTTAATTTTTGAAATGGTCGATTTGTCAACGCACATGGTACCAAAACAACTGTTGAACATAACAGTTGATAGCACCCGCTTGCCGCTTGGCTACCAAACCCGAGCCGGATCAGGACAGGTGTCTTGCTACAACAAACCTCCGGTGAGGTGCGCTAATTTCGCGAACCTTATCCACACTATATAAGTGGTGGCTTTGAGCAGCATACTTGCCCATATCCTCAATCATAAAGCAAAAGCTTCCCAGTACCATAGTTTCCAGTCAACGGTCGATATTCCCAGTAAATAGTTGTCTAGACCAAAGTGAATAATTTTTTGTGCCATAATTACCAACCCTCCTCAGAAGATATTTTGATCAAAAAACTTTGCACGCGTTAATTTTCCAGCGACTCAAACCGTTCCATACCTACTTGGTATACATCTTTTATTCCCTTGTAATTATCCAGAATGAATCCTCCAACCATAAAATTAGTTCATTTTCTAGGTCTACTGCTGTTCATTTTTGCCTATGTTCCGGCCATTGTCCGTGCAGCCGGTCGGGCCCAGCCAACCTGCCCGAAAGGGTATTCAGCTCAAGTGATTGGAATACAGGGTATCACCGGGAAGGTCACGTTCAAGCCGACGACCGCAGGCATTGAGGTTACCGTTGTGGCGAACGGCTTCGAAAGGATGGAAAAACATAAATGTCATAGTGAGGACTTGGCAACTCAAACTCTCATTTTTGAAACCCAACTTATCAAGTTACTCTTCCTCTGAAAACAGTTCACGTAAATCGGATCCAGGGTGGTAATTGTTATACGGCAGGTGCAAACTATGATCTCAACAGCAAGCAGCCTAACTGTCCCTTGAGAACACCTCAAGATCAATGTCAAACTGGGGTAAGTTGAAATTCCGCTCAATCAATATATAATCTCTGGATTTGGGATCAATCATGGATTGACTGATCTGATTCTGATCAAAAATTTAGGATCTAACTGGTAAAGGAGGAGACTTGGAACCTAAAAAACCTGGCGTGGAAGTTTCAATGAGATATACGGACAAAATCTTGAAAGTTCAAGACCTCGTGGGACACAGTGTTGTTTTCCATGACCAGGGAGGAGATTTCATTGGTTGTGGTGAGAAATCTCGATCAGGAATCTTTGATAACAGATTTTGTTCAATTTCCTGAGCTCATTTTTCTTTTGAATCCAGGTAATATTGAATGTGTAACACGCTAAGAGTCTTGGAATTTTGGTGATTTCCGCCATTATCAAGTTTCTATATCAAAGATCTTCTCAACTTTTCAGGATTTGTCACATATTCCAGTCCCAGTGATCAAGATACATAGTGTCCCTAATCCCTATCCATCCATCTTAAATGAGGACTTGTTGATATATTGCTTTTATTGTGGCCATTGATGGTCTTGAAGATTCACTTACGGTCATTTTAATAAGTGGTATTCATCAACTAGGAGTCTTAATATCCCTTGTTCTTTTTTCATTTTTCACACAAATCCCTTATTCTAATCCTCTACTAACTTGGCAAGTCATCTATCACCTTTCGAAATCTGTGTATGATTGTATAAATGAACCTTTTGCCTTTTCTTCATTCTTTCTTATGATAATATGAAGTAGTCAAGAAGAGAATTGAGTTAGAATTGAGTAGCATTAGCAGTATGCAGTATCACTGAGTATCCTTGGTTTTGGGATTTGTCAAAGGCTTCAAGCAAAAAGCAGAATTTTCCTCGGGTAATCACCAAGGCTAGATGTGATGGTGAGCAACACCCATCAAGAAGAATTGTCAAGAAATCTGGCATTGAAGGTGTTTGCGGTGTTTGGAACTTGGCCTACGTTAGCTTAACCATCGATGGTTGAGGTATCCGATGATGTCATCGGCCGGTTTCCCCACTCAAACTCTCTTGATCGATCTTGACGTAATCGGATATGTGAGTCAGCTGTTCTCAGATTGGCCGTGCCGCTCAAACTTTGTTATCTGACTTGGGTGGGCAAACACAACACTCTTCTTCTCAAGCTTGACTCCATCCAACTTGCCTCCTTCCTCTTGATATATATACAACATATACTGCCCCTTGTCCTCCCATCCACCCTTCCGTACAGGCACATATCTCGCCGGCGTATTTTCGAATATCCCAAATGGCTTCTTGGGCGTTCGTGACCGTGTTGACCTCGTAAGCTTATCAGATGAACTGTTTTGGATCTATAAGTGTGGTGCGAGCAATGATACTGATTGTGAGAATGTATTCACTTTGGCTTATCAAAGGGACTCTTACCTTCCGGGGGCTTTGGTCACCGCACGTTCCATCAAAGATGTGGAGAAAGCGTCAACCCGCCAGTTCGATTTGGTTTGCGTGGTAACTCTGGACTCGGTCAGCGTACAATCTATCAAAGCCTTGAGACAAATGTACGATTTGGTTATCAGCGCCGAAGTAATCCGCTCGGGGCACTCTGAGCATGAACTGAATCTTTTGGGTATGTAACACAAAAAATCACTCTTGCTCGATCGACCTTCTGTTATTATCTTAAAGCTGACTCTATGATACGTATCCCTTTTCCTTATCGCACTCACCAGGGCGGCAAGACTTGTCATCTACAATCACGAAAATTCACATTTGGAGACTCACTCAATACGAAAAAGTGATTTATGTTGATTCAGACACGCTCTTGCTGAGACCCCTGTCGCATCTGTTTGAGCTTGCATCGCCGTTCTCAGCTTGCGCAGATATCGGTTGGCCCGATTGCTTCAACTCAGGTCTCATGGTAATCAAGCCCAGCAACGAAACGTTTGAAAAGATTTTTCAGCATTTTCTGACACATGGGAGCTGGGATGGGGGTGATCAAGGCCTTCTCAATGATTACTTTGCCCAATCATCTGGGGAGCTATCTCCAGCAGGATCAGACGGCCAATCACAGGGCTGGAATCGTCTGAGCTTTGTCTACAATGTTACTCCTTCGACTTATTACACGTCAGTGTCCCAATTTCCTGTGCCAAACTCTGATTGAAAGTTGACAAACGATCTTGGAAACTTCTAAAAGTTATGCGCCAGCATATAAACGCTATGGCGATAAAATATCTATGATACACTTCATCGGCAGTGACAAACCTTGGCATCTCATCAACCGACGGAGATATCGAAACGCATACGCACCAAATCAGAATTCTGAATCCCTTAACGCCGTTGATTATGACAGCTTAGTCGATCATTGGTTGGACGTTTATGAGACAGTCGTTGGGCCGATCGAACCCTTGGAATGGTCGTCGTTTCAGCCTGAGTTCAATGTTCCCAAGTACCTCTCAGAATGGGATTCGACACAGCCGAGTGCCTACAAGCCCCCGAGTCTCGATGAGTTGAAAGAAACATTCAGTAGGAGGCGAGCTGTCATCGGGCCGCAATCTTTTGGCATGAAAGCTCCTAATGATGAGGGTGGCTACATGACCTTGCCCTTTCTTGACCTGTCTCGCCTGGCCCGAGAATATATTTTGGCCAGAGACAAAGCTACAACTGCTTTGGATTCCACACGAGACTCGCGATCGGTACCTCCGGAGTCGAATCATCTGCAAGAAAGACGAGATCATCTTCATCAGGTTTGGGACCCTTCGCGATCGTCCCCGCCACCTAGCGGAGGATATCAGATGAACGAGCCAATCACCAAACATTACGAGGCTGTTTGGGACAAACCGTTTAGCGAACAATCCCGCAGCTTTTTCCAGCCGCCGACTACGACTCATTCGATCCCTCATATCACGCATCAGGATTACAGCCAATTCTCGAGGCCACCCCAACCTAACGCGGTTCAAGCTGTATTTCCATGGGAGGAGAACGCACGACATCATGCGGGCCGAGTCTTTCCGAGTGGAGAAAGTCGAACCTCGACTTCCGGTTCATCACACCATCAAGATCATAACCACTCTGAAGCCAATGCGAATATGGTCAATCAGGCTAGTTTGAGTCAGATCTATCGAAACGCGTGGGATGATGATCCGATGATTGGACGCTGGGCTAAAGCAAGAAGTGTTTCGGGGTCGAATAAAAGCCCGAGCCCAGGATGGGCAAAATCTGAAAAAACCAAGGCAGCATTAGTTCAAACACCTCGTCTAGAGATCAGAGGTTTTGACTTTGATCGACGGGGAACGGAAGGCAAGAAAGCAGGCAGGGAAACGTCCGATGTGGGTAGAATTCCCACTTTTGATCACTCTCATCAACATCAACATCATCCATCAAGACAAATAACATTTTCGTCATCATTATACCGACCGAGAAGTGACTCTGAGGGTAGCAGTCAAGATGCAGACGAAGAAGATGTCGGAGAGGATGAAGATCAAAGTAGTGATGTTCGGGCCTTAACTGAAGGAACGAGTAGCGAATTAACATCAACAACCCCACCCGAAAAATCAAAGGCTTCAGATCAAATTTCGGGCACATTAGAAGCAACTGAGAACCCGGAAGTTAACAAGACTGGCTCGTTTCCTTCGACTTTCCGACTTCCCACAAATCGCTCTATGATCATCGGCGTCCCAGTTCAAATGTTAAAAACATCCTCCTCATCCAGTAATAGTAGTGCTCACAGTTGGGAAGGCGATAACAACAAGAATCTTGCCAGGAGAACTACCAGTCTCATGGGTTGAGATTCGATTCAGTGTACAATGCGTTGAAGGTCTCAGTATGGTCTCAAAGTAACGCAGATTACCGATGAGGCCTATCCGCTCCTTCAAAATGTCGTCAGTTCTCGTTCACATTAATGTGCGTATGCATAACTAAGAGATAAAAGAAAAAAAAAAGAAAAAAAAAGTTGATTCAATGTGTACTATGTATTTTGTAATCGTGAACTCCCTATACATAATTTCGCAATCATTAGTTCCATCCTCTAAAAGTGTAAAATTACTTCTCTCAACAACATGTTATAATATCGTTGATGACTATAATCCCATGGTGATTTCAGACTTTGATTGCCTTCCTTCTATCCCTAATTCCAACCGTTTAATGTTCTCAGAAACAAGTTTTTTGGCTTGAAGTTTCACTACAGCTGAACGCAAGTGCCTCGCCTCACTTCACAGGGTCGGAGTGCCCTGCAGGCTCGCCTGAGGGATGTCTCGTCCGCGTTCCGGGCAAAACGTTCAAGCGGCCATTTTCTGAGTCGATATTCTGAGCCGCTTGGTTTCCTGGGCGGCGGCCTGCAAAATCCAGGAGCGCGGGTGAAAAGAATGGCCGAAGAGACGGTGGGCACAGCCACCCGTACGAATTTCGGATTGTCTTTGGGCATGAATCATCGTGGAACAGCCTTGAAATGCAACGGTAGCTGGAGATTACATGATAAGCTAGGAAAACAATGGCCGTAGAGATGGTTGGCACAGCCACCCATAGTAATTCCGGATTTTCTTTGTGCATGAATCATCGAGCAACAGCCTGGATTCATATGAAATGCAACGGTAGCTGGAGATTACATTGAACAGCCGGGCCAAGTCGTTGACCCCCGCCGCCACACGGTAGCTGGCCACCTTGCTTAGCGACCTGTGACCGCGCCGGCAAGATGATACCGTAAACGCGCCACTCGCGACGAGTATTCCAGCTCCCGCTCATAGGTGACTATAAAGTGGAATGGTCTGATCCTTTTCGTCGTCTTGAACCCATTGAAGAGTTCTCTGTTGTCTATACATATTGTGCCATAAATCCACTCCATTTTTTTCTTACCAGAACAATACGTGAAACAAAACAGATAAAGAGCGATCGAATGATGACGACGAAGACGTGGCTCCTGATAGTAATTGCTTTTACACTCAATCTTGCGATCAGCCTTGCCGATAATAATACACCGAACCCGTATCCGCTATCAGTTCAAGCCAAGCTTGAGAATGGACCACTGAAGGTGTACTTCCAGGCGGTCAATATCCCCCCCGAAGACCGGCCGCCAGAACTTGCGTATTATAAGGGTAGACCAATTGCTATGGTGGCGATCATGTTTTCTGGACTTGCAGAGGGCCAAGAGTTTACCTACTTCAGTCAGTCACAATGATACTATCCTGCGCTCGCCAAACGGTTGATTACATGCTCCGCTTGCAATGGAATAAAAAAAGAAACTGATGATAAGGGTTAAAATCCTTTCTTGAAAAACCGTCCAGTTCACGAGAAACCGATCGAAAACAACGATTGTAACACCGCCGGTGGGCATTGGAATCCGAAAGGCAGGGACACGTGGTCTGCAAGTTACCGTTGCGATGCCCGCAGACCGGGTCTGTGTGAGGCGGGAGTAAGTATAGCCTTTTGACCTCGGTGCTCGAGTAGTCATCGGACTGACCTGCTTGAAACTGCCTTCTATGTACCTCTCATCCTGCCCCACCCCACCAGGACTTGTCCGGAAAGCATGGCAAGCTCAAGGGCACCGGCACCCCTCAAGCCCCGGCGGTCACGTACTATGATTCGAGCCTGAAACTCACTTATTCTCGACGAGGGATGCTCGGAAAAAGCTTGGTGGTGTATGATTCATCCAACAAACCAATCTTGTGTGGTGAGCATTATTATACCATTACCCTATAATCTACCCGTTGGACTTTTTGTTATTTCCTTCCAGAGCTCTTCACTGACTGACTCGATCGGATCGACATCTTCGTGCCTTCAAAAAGGTAATATAATCGACCCTTCGACGGTTGCTGAAGCAAGCAGCTAAATCGACGACTATCTAGATCCCTAGGCTAGCCATCATTCTTCTTCTCTTCAATCTGATACCATCACATCAATCTGAATTTCTGAAAATACAAGACCTGTTGTAAATCAGTGGACTTTCCCATACTACACCATACCCTATAGACATCGCTGGATCGCGGTATAGTACCCCTCTATCACCCGAACGCTCGAAGCTTTCGAAGACGTGCTTCCGCGCTGTCTACAGGCTATGGTATCAAAGGGTCCACGGGTGGAACTGTTTTGAAATAACTATATATCAAGCTTTTTCTGCCATGCATTGGACCGTGTTATAATGCAGAAATACACCGGATGTCAAGGACAATTTTTCGTTTTGTATATAGGTTCCATAATTGAAAATCTAACCCTCTTCTTTGCTTTATCAAAGTAAGAATTTTCCAATCAGGTTCAGATGACCCAATGCTTTCCCATCCCATTGAAGTGAAATGTGCGGCGTCAGAGTCACAAACAAGTTGCACATACAAATTATTTTCTTGCTATTTGAAGATGCGGGTGAAGCGATCTTTGAGAGTAATACAAATGATTCCCGGGAACGGACGCGGGAGGAGGAAGATGGGCTGGCTGCAAGAAAAAGGGAGTCTTACCAGGACAAACAAGAAACGAGACAAAGAAGTACAACAGCAAGTACAATACAACAAACTAAGATAACAATAGTGCTAGCAAACTAGAGATTTATAAACAACAACAACATAGAGTTGACATCAAAGAAAAAAAAAACGATTGTTTGGAAGGCCTGAAGAGGGTGGGAAGATAACGCTCAGGTTTGTACAAGATCTCTGCAAAACCTGATCCGCTGGTTGAAGTGAAAATAAGGATGTGTGTGTGCTTCCTGGCCGCGAGACCGCGATTAATTATGTGGTGCTCAGATCAAGGCATTCACGCCGATCCGTAAGACCTTCGATTCATCGATCACGTAGTTCGACGTTTCCGGGAAGTTTTGAGATCTATGTAAAAAAAATAGCCAATGGGTGAAGGTGATTGTGTCCGAGAGTCAGCACGTCAGGCCAATGGGAGGGGAGGCGCGGGGAGATGAACTGACACTCTTCGATAGATCTCTTCCAAAAGATACGATCTGATCGAATGGTAAAACTTCGCAAAAACGTTACTGCTTTTGTCCGCTGTTAAAGGCTTGGCCGTGCAATGATAATGGGGCAAGCTGCGAGTCCAGAGATTAACAATAATTAATAAGTCACTTAAACAAGTGAGAATTACTAGGAGAAGAAAAGACGAAATTGACATACATGTGATTGGTGTTATTAGCAGCCTTAGTGATTTTATATATCTCATCTTCCAGCGCGCTGTTGGAACCGATGGGCACGATGCCCCTTTCGAGTTCGATGATTCTCTCCAGAGTGGGCTTGGTGAGGCCTCTCAAGTCCAAGGGGTCTCGATAGCCGACCCGATAGGTCATCAGATAGAAGCCGCTCAGGGTCCTCAGCTTGTCGATCAGATACTTATCTTCTTCCTGGAGATGGGGCACGCTGACGACTCGGATGGACAGGAAGACGACCACCCTGGGTAACGCAGGTTGGTGTCGGAGCAAGGCCGAGAACGAGTGCGGCGCACCGATGCCTTCTCCCAGATGATGGAAAAAGGAGAAACATTCCAGCCGTGGTAGGGGACCACTAAGTATGACGTCAGGACTGTAGACCGGATTCAGCGTGATTGCTTGGTTGTCAAAGGTGTTCTGCCGTCTGGCAAATCTAGGCGAGTGTTGGCTGGTGGTGAGATGCTTGGTGATCTGATGGATAGCCTGGACCGGAGGGTAGCTGGACACGTTGTGACTTGAGCTCCTGGGGTGATGCGGCTCGTGGATCGTCACCTTTTGCTCGTGGGAGTTTCTCTGCTCATCACCGGTCGCCGGTAAGTTGATCATTTCCTGTTTTTCCTCCATGATTTCGTCTGACTTCATCTCTTCTGGTTCTTCATGGAGGGCCAAATCGCTGATGTGCATCGGAGCTAGTAGGATTTCCGAAGGGTTATGAGTCGGAGTCACAGGCGTTGATGGATATTGTTGCAAGGCATCATTCTCGCTGGGGTACCCGTATACAGCTCCACCCCCACGCCCTGGCAGTTCACTATTGGCAGACTTGAGAGGGGTCACTGGTTGATCGGGCGAGGAGTGCTTGATCAATAATTGGCCAAGCTTGATCCGATGGGCAGCGTCAAATTTATCCTCCAGCCCTTTTGCCCATGTCCAGAAAAGGAGGAACAAGCCAATCAAACAGCCCAACGTGAGCGTAAACCAAGCTCCGTGTGGGATCTTTTGCAAGGCTGACGCAAAGAATAAGGCATCGAAGAAACCTGCAAGAGTAAAAAAGAGTAGTGATAGCCATACTGGCATGCCTTTGACGTGAATCTAGGTACCGACGTTTTCAGCAAAATTAGTTCGTGATGTTTAATCAGTGGGCATGCGATTAATCATTAATTAGTTGTTCCGCTTAGCTTACCATAACCATAGTCATAAGGAATGTAGTGGTTATCAAAACCCCAGCGACCGCAAAACCATCTATTGGAGATAACAAAATGATCAATTTTTTCTGGTGAATGTCAAAGATGGAGATACTAGAGATGAAAGCTGTCAACTTACACGCGGAGTTCAGACCTTCATCCGCCCCAAATCCTGCCGTGACACCAACGGTACCAATCAACAACAAAAAGTTCACGACTGGGGCGTAAATTTGTCCGCGAGAAGAGTCACTAGTGTGGACGATTCTGACCGGCGGAAAGCTCTTGAGGCCGACCATTTGCTGGATCAAGGAGAACGAGGCTTTGATTGAAGAAGAAAGATTCAGTACCACATTGTGCCAGATTTCGAGACACAGCCCGTGGCATCCTTTTGAAGACCTACCAGTGATCATTGCTTGAGAGGCGACGATCGCAGCCAAAAGAGCAAAGCTCCAGGTAATCCACCATAGCGCTCCGCCTTGACCCCCGGGAATAGAGCGGTAAAAGATGTTGGTGACCACCTCGGGTCCGTCGGTTATCAATACTGCGCCTTGGCCGAGATAGGCTAGTATCAGGGCTGGGTAAACTGCAGACATGAAAGATAGACGGATTGCGCCTTTGGAAAACTGTCCCAGGCTGAAAACAGAAAAAGAATTGTTAGGTTTCCCATTAAAAAAAAAAAAGAGAGGAAAATGGAGATTGAAGTACTTTGCAAATAAGGCCTCGACCCCAGTGATGGACAACAGAATCCCACTCAAAGGGCTGATGGACCTGACGCGGACGAAGTACATAATAGCGCGACTAGGATCGAGGGCACGAAAGACTGCGGGATGACGGGTGATGTTATAGATACCAGTGCCGGAGATGATCATGAGCCAGATGGTGACGATCGGGGCGAAGGATAAGGCGAGCTTCTGGGTGCCGAAGCGCTGCGAGAAGAAGATCGCAATCAGGATCGCAATCGAGATGCCCGTGATGTCGGACGACTTCAGGGCTGGGACCGGGATCGCTATGCCTGACACCGCACTCGTCACCGATACCGCTGGGGTCAGGATTCCTGTAAGACCATTAAAAAAAGGACATTGTTCAAATTGCAATCCGGTGATGCCTGATTGATTCTTGATCACTGACCATCACTCATGATCAAAGCCACCGCAAACAAGGTCTACAACGCCAAGGGGAGAGGGAAACAGGAGAGTTATTGTAAGTTAACGGTACTGTGGATGAGGGGGATGTTGATTGTCGTGTGGCTCACGATGACTTTGATGATAGGTTTGACCATCGGCCGGGCCAGAAAGGATGTAGCGCCGGCGGTGACATGCTCACCAACTGAGTGGATCGAGGGCAATGCCAATTCGGATCCCTCTTTTCTGGAAATAGGTGAGGATTCAACATGGTTGTCGTTCCAACACGAAAAAAAACGAAACGATATGACGAAGGAAGAATACTAACTCGGTCGGGTACATCTGCGCAAATAATGCGAACGGGCCTCCTTCTCCTTCTCCAGTCCTACATCATCCCCAGTTTGTGAGTCTTCTACGTACGATGAACCGTGGTCCTGGCTTACTCGGCAACAAGAATGAAAAGAAGGGTAAACTTACCCAAACTGTGGAATAAAAATCAAGCAAGCGAAGTGTTGTTAAAAAACCAATTCAAGATGATAAAGATCCAATATTGAGTGGCCGGAAATATGCTGACCTCTAGGGCTATCAGACTGTACTTGATCAAGGGCACAATCGTCAAAGTCCAAATGATCCTGTGTTTTTTTTGAGCAAACGAAAAGACGGCAAATCAGACACAGAAATAAAAGATGGCAAGAGTGATAAAAAAAGAAAAAAAAAACTGACGCGCTGATAGCGCCCATTGCATCTTCGGCACTGGGCGAAGGTCCATTTGAGGGAAAGATACCTAGGGGAAATGGAAACAGCACGAAAATACGCGTTGTGTGAGCAGGACAGTTGAAAAGATAGCTGAGATGTGGTTGGAACAAACCGTTCATAACATAGAGAGGACTTGTCCTAATAAAGGGAAACCCGTCGCGATTATATTAGAGTGACATACATATGATCCAGGGAGGAAAGAGGGGAGCAGAGGAAGAAGCATACCCGATATCGCCATAGATGATCCCGATGGCCGCGAAGGCGGTGACCACGAGGGGCGGACGGGCCTAAGAATCATAGGGCAAATGAGCATTGTTTTTTTGGGGGAGGAGATGGAGGGAGTGAAGCAGTGATGAAACTCAGTCACTAAAAGGTGGTGAAATACCTGCCGATACCGCTGGTCCAAACTGTCGGTCCAGGTCGAAGATCGCGCGAATATCTTGGACATCTCTTCGTTGGGTTTCTGATGGTTTTCTTTTGGTTTTTGTTCGGGTTTTGAGACTGTGATGAATAATGAGGAGGCCTAATGTGATGGTCAAACTGCGCTCCGCTTTCTTTGATTGCTGAGATGGGTGGAAGATCTAGAGAGTTCCGGGTATGAAGATGAGTTCTGTTTCTTGGTTCCGGTCTGTGGTGTTCAGCAAGTCAGTTCGGTAGGAAGCACGTTCATATTTCCATGATGTTGTGGGGGTTGTTGCAAGCTGAGTTGTGGGTGTGTTTCCGTATGAAGCTATCAAGTATTTTGAGGAGACGGGTTGTCTGAGTTTGTGGCAGGCTTTAGTTTTCCTTGAAATCCGAGATCTGAGGAGAACAGACAGACACTGACGGAGGGACTGAAATCGAGCTGGTCAGTCAGTCAGTCAGTCAGTCAATCGAGCTAGCCCCGATTAAGTGTCTGAGTTCAGTCAGCCCAATGAATTCTGGGCTGGTCCTGCAATGGTTCTGATCAACTTTTTCTTCTGAGGGCTGGACCCACATCAAACAATGGCTCATGGAGAAATGAGGAATTCCTGGGAGGCCGACGCGTGACGTAGGGGATGGCTTGATCTGAGCTGGCCTTGAGAACTTATCATAATAAAAGGTAGAATCCAGCTTCATTCACATCCACATTAATTCTTGAACCTTCGCCCATGGCTGCTGTGCTACTATGATGGGGACGCGACGACAACCAACCAAGGGCATCGATGAGAAAGACTTGCGTCAAAATCAAATCTCTACTTTCGCATTTCCACCGAGTCCCGACGAGGCTCTTGGCCTCATGGGGAGAAAATCTTCCTGATTCTTTGCGTCATGGTAACCTTTTCATTAAAAAGACCTGATCAGACATCGGAGATTGTCAACAAATTTAGACAACAGATATATGTAGAAATGAGTATCTGGACATCTCTGGAGGGATTCAAGTGACAAGGTGCTATGTAGATACATGCCCGGTGGCGCAGGCGATGCTATTGCTAGAAGGTGTTGTGGATGCTAATTCATGGCATCTATGTACCGGCAAGGGATGGGCAAGAGCAGGCAAGAGCCCAAGGATGGTGAGCGCTGGCCTTCCCCGACGCCAACCCTCCAGCTCAACAACCCAAGCTCACAACTCATTACCGGATGAGCAGCGCACAAAAAAGGATCCGGTGCCTCTTCAGCCAGCACCGCCTATTCGGTGATGCATTTCCGCTCGTAACGGATGGGTAATATTAATAACAACTTCCATTCATCAACCTGGACTACCCTGGACTACCCCGGCGCAATCTGGCCCCCTGCCATAAACAATCAATACTGCTTGAGTGTCATGTTTGGGATGGGGTCCCTATTTCTCCCAAGCGGATATCGCAATGGAAGCCGGCCCACCATCACTTATTCGATGCAGCTTAACCATGAGAGTGGGTGAGCCCCCTTGAGCTGGAAGTGCTGAAGCTCGATGGAACTTGGTATCCAAGGGAAGAGAGTCTTCACGATCGACGAAGGACATCATCAGAGGCAGGCCGCTTGAGGAATGAGGTCGAGGAACTTATGAGGTGGTGCTTCACGAAACGGTCACCCTGGCAAGCACTGATGCCCGGTTGCTCGCAACCTCCAGGGTTAACACACCCGTCTCATCGAGCATAGACCAGCCGGATGAACGCATCAAGCACCGCCAATGCCATCCTGAAACGCACCCTATCGACTCCGGTAGCTTTCTGTGCACACTATCGACCGGAAACCGGCTCTTCTTTGGCTGTCACTCTTGGGCAGAGTGAGGAGCGTCGCAACAAACTAATGGGACAGGCCATGGGCCGAATACAACTTATAAAGAGACTCCCCCTCTCTCTTAGCCACAATCCCATCATCCGCTTCCGAACCTACTAGAGTCTATACATAGACCGCTTACATGAGTGCTAGATTATTCCCCTAAGAAACACACATCACAAGTTCGCCATTCAGAATCAGTGAAGCCTTTATATTCTAAAGCACATCACCCTTCTCAAATCATATCCGCCCTTTCCAAACTACCCTAAATCTTTCTATCTTCTTCTACTTAGTTTGTTATTGACATTACATTCGTCGTTGACTATCACCTTCAGTCTCTTTAGTTTCCTGCCTGATTTTCCGTAATTAGGTCTACAGGACATCCATCTCACTCTTTTTTAAAAACAAAAACAAAAACAAAAAACATCCCTTCCTTGTGAATAGTAACACTCGATTTTACCGATCTCCCGAGAAGCGTTTCGAAGATAGAATAACATGAACATCCTCTCGCCCGCCGCGTTTCTCATCATCTTGGAGCTCTCAGGCCAATTGCCGCAGTTCGCCGCGGGACAAGGATTACTAGGCTCAGGACCACCAGGCGGCGCCCCCGGGCCAAAGCCAGATGGCCCCAAGTTGGACAGCCCGCCAGGGATGGGCGGAGGTCCTGTTAAGACCGACGGCCCCAAACCCGATAGCCCACCAGGAAAGGACATGGGAGCACCACCAGGCAAAGACATGGGCGGGCCAAGCAAGGGCCTCGGTTTGCCTTCTCCCGGACCTAACTCCTCCGCCTCGGCTTCTGCCGCCGCTGCTGCTAGTGCCTCGGTCAGCGTAGACGGCAGTACCAAGACCTCTTCCGATTCGAGCAAATCCGGAGGTCCACCCGGGGGTGGTGGCACATGGAGTCTCACTTCTGTCAGTCAAACACTTTATCATTCTTTTTCCCCCCCTCCTTTGTGCGGCGTCAGTGTTTCCTGAACTTTGCTTTTGTTATTTGAACCTTATGTAGCCATCCGGACAAACATGTTCATGTACTTGCAAGGACGAGCCCAAGCCTCCGCCGCCGAAGTGTGACTCGCCCCCGCCGATCACCAGCGGCGGAGGCGACACCCCTCCGCCCCCGCCGCCGGACAAGAAGGACTCGCCGCCCCCGCCGCCGGACAAGAAAGACTCGCCCCCGCCGCCTCCTCCGGATAACAAGGGGCCACCTGATACTCCCGGAATCACGTCCCCAGTACGTTCCAAGTTCTTCTTATCTATAACAATCCAGATCTTTTTTTTTGCTCATCCTTCGCTGGAATCATTGTGACAGTCCGCGGCTCCTTCGGTCATCTTTGGCGCTCCCAACTGGATCTCAGAAAGCTTCTTATTGGGCACTCTCATGTATATACTCGCCTGATAGGCTTTTGTGTGTTCCCCCTATATACAGCGATCCGCTCTCACTCTCATCTAGGGTCTCTCTCCATCTCTCTTCTTATGTGGATTAGCTTCATCTTCATATCAGATTATCTTCCTGGATGATACACAGACTCTTTTGGTGCAATGAACTATTGGCTTCTTTGCTCCTCTCAGTCTTGAGTTTTAACACCAACAAAATTGCCCTTTTTTGCTTTGCTTTTCGATCTGGTGTTTGTTATATTTTTCGTTCTTCTGTTTTGTTCATGGAATTTATTGATCCCCTTCATCTACCAATCCAGTCTTTCAATAAAATGGAACACATAACTAGGATGAAATTCGTAGTTGATGGGATTTTGAAAAAAAAAAATCAAGATAACAATGAGGATAGATAATTAGAGTAACACATTGGTTCCCTAGATAGTTTTTGTTCAACATGAGTCAAAAGGAAATTCCAAGATTTTTTTGCAACTGGTTTATAATTCTATTCTTTGGGGTATGGAAACTGGGGGTTTATAAAAAGACAAATAAACAGCAAATTCCTGCAGTAAATTCAGTCGTATGTCTAAACATGCCCCATAAAGAGTGTCTGTGAGGAACAAGGGGCCTGTTTCCACTGGAAAAGGTGTGTGAAAAGCATATTGAATGTCATGGGACCCAGTCAATGAAGCATGCTTGAGATGCAGCTTCTCAAGAATGCTTATTTCATGAGGCCCAGCTTCTGGCTCTGGAGATCCATTGAGCATTCAGAAAGTCCTGCTTCCTGCCTGTAAACTGACAGTGGTTCCTCCTGGTTAACAATGTCAGTCACATAGCTGAATCAAGTCATCATCCACCTTATCTTGCTACCTTTTGATCATCTACCCCCTAGCATCAAATGTCACCTGTGAGAATGGTAGGATTCAGCTTGACAAGGTTGATAGCAAGGCCACAACTGAAAAGAGAAAGGTTGCTTATACTTACAAGATGTGCGGCTGTCACACGAGAGGCTCTTGCGAATTTGAGAGATCTTGAATTGGGAGCTGCCTGATGACCTTTTCCACACATCAGCAACTGGCAGGTCTTATTGTGACCGTTGCTGATCGAAGTGCCTATTTGGGAATTGCATTTTTCCTCTATGTATGTGTGTCACTACACTAGCAAGAAGGCATGAAGAAAATAACATGATAGTTAATGAGATGATTAGTGATGGACTGTCTTTAGGAGCACTATCGGGTAGATTAGGGCAAAGTGTTGCATCATGCGCGCCTTTGCGAGTCTCGGTCCCGCGGGTGTACGCCATATTCTTTCACCCCGAGATTCCCCAGCCAGCCGGGCTCGACCACCAAAAAAAAAAACGACCAGCACGATGCTTGCGATGCTCAGAGTCCACCGGGGATATGGCCTAGCCCGCCTGGTCAGATCTTCCGCCTCCAGCCAGAAAGCCTATCGCAGCATGTCCTCCACCTCGGCCAGTCAGCAAGCCTTTCGGAGCGAGTTCGACACCTTTGGAGAGCTGAAAGTGCCGGCGGATAAGTACTATGGAGCTCAGACGCAAAGGTCAGCGCTTCAACTAGGCTCCACTCTCTCCATCATTGCAATCTCTCGAGCGTTTTCTGTTGCTGATCTATTCTTGCAGATCACTCCAAAACTTCGACATTGGCGGCGAACAAGAACGGATGCCGCCAGCGCTGATCGAGGCGTTTGCGTATGTCAAAAAGTCTGCGGCGATCGTCAATATGACATACGGATTGGACGCCAAAATAGGCCAAGCAATCTGCCAGGCTGCCGATGAGGTGAGTCATTAACTCTTCTATTCGCCATTGTTTCCATAAATCCCTTCTTACGGCCCGCTGGAGTGATGTTTTCTCTAGGTCATCGGCGGGAAATTGAGTGATCACTTTCCCTTGGTCGTTTTCCAAACTGGTTCGGGTACCCAAACCAACATGAATGTCAACGAGGTATTGTGCTCTAGATTGACCTGATCAATCTGATTGGATGCACATGTGTTGATTGTCTTTTGGTTCGCCAGGTGATATCGAACCGAGCCATCGAAATCCTCGGCGGAGAAAAGGGCAGCAAAAAGCCCGTCCACCCGAACGACCATGTCAACATGTCCCAATCTTCCAACGACACGTCCGTTCTTATTTCACCATACAGTGCTCTGTCATGATGTCCTGTTTTTGATTCCCTAGTTCCTTGTATACTTACAGGTTTCCTACTGCGATGCACGTGGCAGCCGTCTTCCAGATCACCCGAAATTTGATCCCTGCTCTCGAATCGCTTATTCGCGCGGTTGGCGCCAAGAGGCAAGAGTTTGACTCGATCATCAAGATCGGACGAACTCATCTGCAGGATGCTACTCCGTTGACCCTTGGCCAGGAGTTTTCCGGCTATGAGCAACAACTCATCAACGGGCTAGCGCGGGTGAAGGCCTGCTTGCCCCGACTTTCGATGCTTGCCCAGGGTGGGACTGCTGTCGGAACGGTTCGTTGGACTCTCCATCTCACGCTGTTTGTTGATGTCGCTCAGCCCGATGATTTGTGCAGGGTCTCAACACTAAATCAGGATTTGCTGAAGCCATCGCCAAGGAAATCACCCAACAAACCGGGATCCCATTCGAAACTGCGCCCAACAAGTTCGAAGCTCTCGCCTCGCACGATGCCATCGTAGAGACATCTGGGGCTCTGAACGTCCTGGCAGTTAGTGCGATGAAGATAGCCAATGACATTCGATTCTTGGGCAGTGGTCCTCGCTGTGGACTTGGAGAGTTGAGTCTGCCTGAAAACGAGCCTGGAAGTTCGATTATGCCTGGGAAAGTGAATCCCACCCAATGTGAAGCGGTGAGCATCCTCAGCCCCCCAATGAAACGATTTGATTTTTGGAATTGATTTCCACCCTCTCAGCTTACTATGGTAGCCGCTCAAGTAATGGGTAATCATACCACAATCTCAGTAGCAGGATCTAACGGCCATTTCGAGGTAAGCAGATACGACCCAATCTTTTGCAATCTATTTTGAGGCTGATTTATGGATTTCAAAAATTGCAGTTGAACGTGTTTAAGCCAGTTTTGATCAAGAACTTACTGCAGTCAATCAGGCTATTAGGGGACGGATTCAGATCGTTCGAGACTAACTGTGTTGTTGGAATTCAAGCCAACAAGGCTAGGATTGAACAGTTGCTCAACGAGTCTTTGATGTTGGCCACCATTCTCAACAGCCGACTCGGTTATGATAGTCAGTAGTTTTTCTTCTTTTTCCCTCTCTCGATTCAGGTACTAACATGTTTTTTTCCCCCTCGTCTGTACCGATGTGAAGATGTCGCAAAGTGTGCAAAGAAAGCGCACAAGGAAGGCACCACCTTGAAAGAGGCCACATTATCCTTAGGCTTACTCGACGGTGCCGAGTTTGATCAGATTGTCCGTCCCGAGTTGATGTTGGGGCCTGATTATAAACCCAAATCGGGTTAGATTTTTAAAGCCATCTATGTCAGCTCTTGCTGATCAGAAAAAGCAGGTTCATTTCCCCATCTGTCGTATTTCCTGTTTCTTCTTTTTGATGTAACCATCCTATCAGCGTCGTCTCTTATGCAATCTAAACTTTGGACTTGCAGTCCAAAGAAGAATCGTCACATGCATAAGTCGAGACATTTATTCAATTAATTTCATTTCAGAGTTCACTCAACAAAACAAATACAATCAGATCCAGTACATTATTACGAAGTATTCTTACCAGGTCCGGATTCGCACTTCAGTGTGGGTAAAACAAAGCGTCAAGATCAAGAGAAAGAAAGAAAAAAAAAAAAAGAAAAAAAAAGAAAAGAAAAAAAAAAAAACTAGGGGAAAAAAGAGAAAGAAAAAATAGGGTACTTCAACAATCGCAATCACTCAGCACGACAATCACAAAAACAAAACAACATAATACTGTCCATAACAGAGAAAGATAGAGAACACGTCCAACTTGCGGAGAAAAAGAAAACTCAGAGAAAAACTAGACGGAAAAAGGAATAAGATATTAATTAGGTCAGAAAGACGGAGAGGGTTGTGGCGGTTCTCAGGTTCGTCTGGGAACAAGACTTCCGGCACAAATGCCGCGTTGGCGATGACGCATCAAAGCGTCTCCTCGGGCGAAGCCTTTTCCACTGAACAAATGAACACAAAATGGACGGCGAAGAAAACCCAAGTCAGATGAATGACTGAAGTGGGTGGTGGACATGAAAGAAAAGTGTTTACCAGATACAGTTGTGTGCTTTGTTCTTCAAGTGGATTTGTTCGTGGCGACGCAGGTCGTGTTGGCGCACAAAGGCGGCATTACTAGTTAAAAAAGGAATAAGATTAGATTGAGGATGTGATAATGAGGGAGGGGAAGGGGACATACCAGTCAATGGTAGAACAGACGAAAGGTTTGTCCTCGAGGTGGGTCTGGAGATGGCTCTCGATGGCCGTCTTGCGAGCGAACGAACGCCGACAGTCGTCGAGCTTGCAGACGAAGCGTTTGGAGCTCGAGTGGTCTCCGGATTTGGAGGGAGAGCTGATCTCATCGTAGAGACCCTTGAGGACGTGTTTAGGGATCCCGCAGGCCTCGCCGGAGGGGTTGAGTCCGATGGCGTTTGCGCCCGGTGGGGGGTGTTGGACGAGGGTGGACTTGGACTTGGGGCCCGGCTTGAGCCGCGAGCCGACGAGCGGGGCCCGCTTGAGCAGCGAGCTCACGCCGCCGCTGGCCTGGTACGGATTCACGTTCTCGTTGGCCGAGTCGCAACTGGTGGCCGAACACCGTCTCTTGCTTGGCCGGTGCTCGTCCTCTGAGTCCGTGTGCTGCGAAAGAGCTCGTTTACCCTGCTCGGAGCGGTCCAGATCTTCTGGACTGGCGAGCGCCAGCGGCACGCTGCAAGGCCCTTTCTCCAAGGGAGCGCAGAAGCCCGGCTCAGAGACCATATGTCCAAAGGTGGAAGCATGGTCAAACTTAGAGGAATAATTATTAGGGGGTGCTTGAGGGAGACCAGTAAAGTAATCGGTCGGGCTATATAAGGGACTAGAATAGCTGGCAGGGCTATTGACAAGCTGGTAGACATTGCTTTGATATTGGCGATGGGGCACCTGAGGCGCTGATGCGCTGACAGGTTGGTATCCCAACCCAGAGGTGAGGTCCATGTTTGTTGGGGAGAGGAGTCCGCTTGATTGGACAGGCAGCTGGAGGGAAAACTTAGTTTGGGCTGGGTTGATTCCCATGGCAGAGTTTTCCTTGCCCAAAGGATGAGGATAATCTGATGGGAAGCTGATTCCGGTAGGAGTAGGCACCGCCGAGAAGGTTGCAGAGGAGGGCGTCGGAAGGCCCTCGCAGTAGCTCACGCCGGGGTTGGATTGTGGGGCATCGAGACTGGCGTGGAGCCAGTTGACAATGCTCGGTGGACTGGGCACCAGAGGAGAAAGATGGCCGGAATGTTGGGGTTCGAAGTACAACGAAGGGGCCGAGGCTGAAATGTAAGAAGCGGATGATTCAGAGTATGGGGTCAATGGATTCTGGCAGTTCGGGGAGAGTTGGTCGGCGGCCTTGAAGGCCGTCATGTTCGTGTTGACGGTCAAGTTGAGCTTGTTCTTCGTGCTCCAGTCGTTGGAAGAGGACGCTGGAGTTTGGCTTGAAGGGTAATCCATGCAAGTGGCAGTGCTCATGTAATGAGCCTCTTGTGGTAATGATGAGTTGGGTGATGGCGCGCTTTCAGTCGACAGAGCGGTGGAACACGCGCCAGACCAGTCCTTGATGGCCTGGGCTTGATGAAAGTAAGTATCAGGCGCCGTTTGGGAGAGCCCATTGAGGGCTTCCTGGACGTCTGCTTGGTGGGTTTCATCCAAAGTTTGTGCTTGCTCTTCCCCAGTTCCCAAGGTGATTAATGGGGTGATACTTGGGTAAGGCAGCATCTGAGTTGGCTTGGCTGCTACATCCGGCTCAGTGGTCGGAAGGCCATAGGCAAACAGATCCAGCATCAAGTACTCTTGGAATGAGACCAGGTTATCCGGGTAGAGACTGGAGTGGATGCTGCCGGCTGGACTGAGACCTTGACTGCCAGACTCTGACTCAAGGAAGGTGTCGGCACTTAGGCTGTTTTCAAATGGATCGGTCGACTCCAAGGAAATCAATGAGGTTGGCGGACTCGAGTCGTTCCGATAGCTATCCGACTTGGATGCATCGGACATGGGGTAGGTGGTTGAGAATGAGATGACGGAATTGGTCGACATGCTGAAAACTGTCCAGATGATTGGGTCGATAGCTTGATGAGGGTGCTAATGATTATTGCAGACAGTCTTGTGATGAGTATAGTATCGACAAAAGGACTAATATAAGATGGAAATTGTACTCACGAGGATAGCGAATGACCTGGGAGACGATTGATTGATTGATAGATTGACGCCGCGGATAGAAGTTGGGATGGGTTATTGGGTATCTCTTGATTGAGGACTGACGACAGACTAACAGAAGGTGAATTGTAGGGACAGAACACGAATGATGGTGAAGCAAAAAGAACGACGTTGAAGTAGGTGGTATGGTATTGTGGGTGAAGGAGGCTTCAAATAAAGAGAAAAAAGGAAGAGTGAAAAAGCAGTTGATGAAGCACACCAGCTGTTTGAAGAGTTAAAGGTTTTATAATAAATGTGTTACAATTTTTCAAGCCAGGTGGAAAAGTGGAAACGATGCAAATTAAGTTGGGAAGAAAAAACTTCAGCGGGAAAGCTTGGCAGTATTTATACCAAGGGGATGACCCCAAGCAGAGGGGAGGCTGGTAGTGTATGCAGCCGTCTTGCCCGCTGCCTGACACCGATTTCGATTGAGGCTGGAAGCCGGGGTATCTTAACGGTCGGCTGCCGAATGTAGGACGGAAGGCATTCAATCTATTCAGGTCCGTCAGCTCCCACCCCCGGGGTTCCTAGAAAGCAATTCCAAAAAAGAAGGTTGTCTCTATCGGACCAGGCCAATGACAATGGCTCTATGAGGCCAAAACATGTCCGAATCCCATTCAAAAGGAGATGGCTGGAGTATCATGTACTTCACTCTTCACCAGGCAAGCGGCTCAGAACCCAACGGGGTTGGTTGTATGCCATTACAGATCGCTGAAAGGACCACGGGGGGGACTGATGATACTATCGAATGTGTAGAAAGATAAGATTGCTTTCGGGAAGTTTGGTAATGATGATGCTACAACTCTGCTATATACATTTAAATAAGAGTACTGACATCTGAGTGGAATTAAAGACTAAATAAATTCACTCGCTATGCGCCTCTGTTTGGGCTTCATGGTTAACAACTCGCGGAGGGTTCAAACTTTGAGGGAAAAAAAAGATCCAGTGCTTTAACGAAAAGAAGAAAAAAAAACTTATTCTAACAATCAAAGAAGAAAGGGCACCAATTTTTGGCTAGACAGAAAAAAAATCTTATGCGTGTCGTGAATGAGATGAATCAGTTTTTTTTTTTTTTCGTTTTGTTTTTCAACGCGCCATTCTTGTCGACTGGGATTTTTTCCAGTCGCACTGGTCCTGCAGTGAGAGCTTCTCCAAGCCATCCATTGGAGTTTACAATATCAACATCGTTCCGATAGCGACTAGTCCAATTGCCAAAGATTTGTGTCCTACGGCAGCCGTAATTGGCCCTGCAGGCGATCCGTCGGAAGTCTACAGGTTCGATAAGACACAGTCCAGGAGCGATAAGTTAAGATTATTCCGTCAAGAACAGGCCATCGAGGAAACACGATGTAGGCTTACCTTGGTGCCATTGTCTGCGGCTGGTGGTGGGGCGTCTGCTGGTGGTGTGCTAGAAGATTCCTGCGTAAGTTGGAAAGTAAACATATGTTAGTTGATTAGTCAACTGACGCCCAAGAGGAATCTAGCAAGCAAGACGCGATTTTGAAGGGAAAGCTCACCTCATCGGGTGCATCTTCTTCAGCATCACCCCCGGAGGGGGCTGGCGGTGTCGAAGAGTCCTTGGCAGAACTGACAGTTGGACTGCCTTCCTTCTTGTCCCCAGCTGCCGGAGCTGCAGGTTTGTCGGCCGCCTTGGAAGGTGCATCCTTAGGCTTATTTTCCTTGTCATCACCTGGGGGAGGGGCTCCGCCCGAGGAAACCGAAGGGGTTGAGGGTTTATCTTCGGAGTCCCCCTTTGGAGGCGTAGATGCGTCTTTCGGTTTTGGCTTTCCTCCTGGCGTGCCACCGCCGGATGAGACTGGAGGTGGAAGATCTTTGTCGGACTTCGAGGGTGCATCTTTTGGCTTTGACTTGTCGCCTTCGCCTGATGAGACTGGGGGAGGCGATCCTCCCGAGGAGACCGATGGTGTGGTGGGTTTATCTTCGGAGTCGCCCGCCTTGGGAGATGCAGGCGCGTCTTTAGGTTTTTCGTCCCCCTTGGAAGGTGTGGCCACGTCTTTAGGTTTTGACTTTCCTCCTCCAGATCCATCGGCTGGCGGGGCTGGAGCAGGTCCACCCGAAGAAACTGAAGGCGGTGCGTCTCCCTTTGAAGGCGTATCTTGAGGTTTCGCCTTGTCTCCCGGTTTGCCACCCGGAGAGGCTGACGGAGGTGCCCCTGAAGAGACCGCTGGAGTTCCACCAGAAGAGACCGGCGGGGTTCCACCAGAAGAGACCGGCGGGGTCCCACCGGAAGAGACCGGCGGGGGTCCACCTGGAGAGGATGGCGGAGTTCCACCCGAAGAGACTGGCGGAGGTCCACCCCCAGAGCCTGGGGGGGATCCGCCTGATGAAACGGGCGGAGGTGCGCCAGAGGAAACTGGCGGAGGTCCACCTGAAGAGATTGGTGGTGGTCCACCTGAGGAAACTGGAGGGGCACCAGATGAGATTGGTGGAGGAGCAGCTCCTTTGTCAGAGGTGCCGCCGGGACCTGGAGGGCCTCCATTTTCACAAGGACACTTGACTGCAGTCACGGTCACGCCTGCACCCGGCTGCAAAGAAGAAAAAGAAAGTACAGGTTTGGAGGAATCAGCTCGTTGGTAAAAGTATGAATGAATCAGTTAGCTGTTTAAGCTGACCGTGTTGCCGTTAGCTGCTTTGGTTGGATCGGGTCCGCCGCCTTGGAGAGTGGCCAAGACCTGATGGACCTTTCCTCCGATGCCTCCTCCCGGGTATGGCATGAGTTGACCGGGAGCACCAGGAGGGCCGGGAGGGCCGGGAGGACCGCCAGGATAGGCGGCGGTAAAAAAACCGAAGGTCTGATGGGAATCTGGAACGCAAGAGAAGAGGAAAACTGCGAGTGGAATGACGTTCTTTGCCATCTTGAATGTATGTATGTATGAAGTTAAATTCTATATATGGCTCTTTGTACAAGGTTTACGATATATGGGGCAACTGAAAGATAAGGAATAATAGGTTGAAAGGAGAAAACCTGCTCTCAACGGGGGCAAGTTTAAATACACCAAATCATGCTAAGCACGAAAGTACTTGGCCACGGCCAGAGAAGACTGGTTGTAACATTCCCTGCGAAAACGCGTGCTTCAAGGGTGTTCACCTCTGATCCCACCCACCAGGCAGCAGAAAAACCCTGAGCTTGACCCAGTTAACGGGCGTAACGATGACAAAAGACAGTGACCCTAATCGATTTCCACTCACCGTTGCCATTACCTGGTCGATTCTCAGTAAGAGTGACAGGGTATTGCAAGTTCACGTCTAGGTGCCCTCTAATTTGTGGCTAGGAGTGCTAAGGGCAATGTGAGCTGGGAGTGACAAGAAGTTATCGAGAGATGACTATAGAACTCAAATTTGGCTTCAGAACAACATGGATTACATACGGGAAGACGTCGGGAAGCGTCGATAGCTAGAGTAAGTCTGGCGGAATGAGGAATCGTATAACTGATAACGAAAGGGCATCCCTAGACAAGGACACTTGGAAAGGGAGCACTGAGGACATTTTCCCGAAGAATAAAACCAGTCTTTGAACAACAGGCACGGATCGTAGCCGTAGAATCATCAACCCCGAGCTGGCTGTAGCCTCAGCAGTCTTGAGAGCCCGACGCTTTCAGATTAGCATGCACTTTGTCTGTCATTCAAAAAACCAGTGATCGGCTGATCATGAAGAAGCAGCACTTCACGAGAGGGCACAGAACTGTGGCCACAGGTACCTCAGGGTTGGCCAGACCATAATTTCAGGGGCTGTACATACTGTCGGGTAAATGTGCAAGAATAATTGGTCAAGGATTTAGGAACTCAAGTTGCGAGTTGATCAAGGGAAAAAGTGATCACTCCCTTAATTTGAACGGTGGGAAATGGGATACGATTCGGATCGAAAATGAGGTTTAAACTCTAGGGGTCATAATGACGGACCACATGCCTTAGCGGATCCGCATTGCTTGATTTTCTAACAAGGTGAAGATTTATATAACGCATCCCCAATGTCAAACAGCTATAGGAAGACAGGAAACTTACTGCTGTTTATAGAGCACAGATATTCAATGAGATTGGGGCCCCGTAGACCCCTTGATTTTTCCTATGATGGGGAGAAGCACATCAAGAAACAAAAATGTCTTGATTCAGAGCAAAAGGACGTGATCTGGGTAAATAGCAAGTCATGCGGTGGAGTGGACCGGGGGGTTGTTGGGCCTCGAGAGCCTACCCCCGCGGCAATGGCTTAGATAAGCTAACAGCGCATACATGTTCCGACTGAAAGGCATTCCGAAGAAACCAGCTCGATGGTCATGGACAACCAGTCGAGCGAAGCCGAGATGAACACAGTCCAGTCGCCGCAGACGGAAAATCGGGATCGATTGGGCCCGGAAGAGTTGAAGGCATTCCTCAGCGAGCGATACTTGGCTCCCCATCAACACCTCCCTCCACTCTGGTCATCAACCCAGATCACCCACTGGGATGAAAACCCTCTGTTGGACTTGGCTCGCCAGGAGTCGATCAATGAGTTTTTGCACACTCAGCCGAGCCCGATGTCCACCCACTTGGACTTCATCTTCGCCGGACTCGAGGGCGATGTTGTGGATTGCGTGGTGGTGAGCATGCATTGATAGCTGCATTTTTTATATTTATTGCTTTCAAATTTCATCAGGGCATTCATTTGGAAAAATGAAGTTGGAGGGCACAAACTGATTATTTGCTATTTTTCTCTTCAACCCATCACACAGTCTGAACAATCATCCGACTCATTCCTTACTTCCAAGACATCCTCATCCGTGATCAGACAACCAGCCAACTACACATCTGATTTCATTCGGGGTCGTTCTGGGTGATTTTTGAAACTTTTGAATACCTCGATCACTACTTCTTCAATGCAAAAATTTCTAATGAAGCGGAACGATGTGCGCATGCAGGAATTTGCCTTTCCAACCAGGGGGCCTCCTTTCCTCAGTCGTTGTTGAACCTCTCTCGGATCCGAATGTCAATGCCAGCGATGAGCTTGAGAAGGATCTCGAATCGACGCGTGGTAGGCAACCTATTTCCTCTCCTTTTTTTCTCTCTTTGTTTTATGTAGACCAAGCCCTGTGCTCAAAAGTTGACCCTAATCTTTTTGACAGGGGGTATTCGGACGATTCCCCCGGGTTTCACGCGAGGTCTGGATTTTGGAGCTCAAGAAGCCGACGGAGCTGAGGATGGATTACAATCAACGTTTCCAGCTGCCAATCTCAATCCAGTTCAACTAGACCCAATCTATGTTTCTTCATCAAACACAAACTGGCGACGACAGAACAAGGACAATCAGTCCAACAGTTTGCAGGGAGATACGGGGCGAATAGATACAGAAGTGGATGCACTTCTTTCAGATACAGTGGGTGCTGTTTTTTTATACTTTCAACAGGCGTCCCCACTGTAATGGAAACTGACGCTAACAGAGAAATTCCTTAGCAATATGCATTGACCAGTGCCATGCCAGTGATCAAACCTCGCCGTCAACCAGTGGTGTCAAAGCGCGATTGGGCTCATGTGGTGGACGTCAATAAAGAACTGGCCAACTTCCGTGAGTTGGTGCCCAACATGGCCCGACAGGTAATGCTATCTCGCCTTATGAATTTGGGGTGTTCTTCACATAGTGACATGTTTTCGCATTCGTGGAATCTTTAGTATCCCTTCGAGTTGGACACTTTTCAGAAAGAAGCAATCTATCACCTTGAAATGGGAGATTCCGTCTTTGTAGCTGCCCACACCTCTGCAGGGAAAACAGTAGTAGCAGAATATGCCGTGGCTCTTGCACGTCGCCACATGACCAGGTAATCCACATTCGAATCGATAATTCGAGTGCCAAGGAACTGAGTTTGATTGTCAGATGCATATACACTTCTCCGATTAAGGCTTTGTCGAATCAAAAATTTCGCGATTTCAGACAGACCTTTGACGCCGAGACCGTTGGAATCCTCACTGGGGACGTTCAAGTGAACCCCGAAGCTAGCTGCTTGATTTTGACAACAGAAATCTTGAGAAGCATGTTGTACAAGGGCGCTGATCTGATTCGCGATGTGGAATTTGTGGTGTTTGATGAAGTTCACTACATCAACGATTCCGAGGTATGTAAGTTTCTTCCGCTTCAAAGAATAGTAGATTGACGTACACATACTGTTTGCTGACTGAACGCTGTGTGGAATAGCGAGGGGTTGTGTGGGAAGAAGTCATCATCATGTTGCCAGCCCACGTTACCATCATTCTTTTATCAGCAACGGTCCCGAATACCAAGGAATTTGCAGATTGGGTTGGGTACGAATTACTTGATCATCTCAATACATTTTAACTGTTTTGACTCCATACCCTCCGCATTCCAGACGTACGAAACGGAAAGACATTTATGTCATTAGTACGCCCAAGCGACCGGTTCCACTTGAACATTTCCTTTACGCCAATAAGGAAATCCATAAAATCGTTGATGCCAAGGGTGAATTTCTGAGCCAAGGGTCAGTCCAAAATTTTCGATGAAGGCCCAGGCTCCGATTCCAAGAACTTTCTAATCGCTCTCTTGACCCAGATGGAAGGATGCGATTGAAAGCATGAAACGCTTGCAAGTCAAAGAACGGGAAGCTTCGGGACAGGCCCCGCTCACGAGGCTAGGCCACAATGCAGCCAAACAAGGTCCACAACGTGGTCAACAGCGTGGCCGGGCCGATAAGCGCGGCGGAAGGGGTTCTCAGTCTTCTAGTCACTTCTCATCAGCTATGAGCCGCGGAGGGGGCGGTGGCCCTAATAGCGGACGCGGACATCAAGAAGATCAGAATCGGTGGGTACATTTGGTCGGGATGCTCAAGAAAAAAGAATTGCTGCCGGTCGTTGCTTTCACTTTCTCCAAAAAACGATGCGAAGAAAACGCGACTAGTATGCCAAATACCGATCTTTGTTCGGCCAAGGAAAAGAGTGAAATTCATATCGTCATTGAGCGGAGCTTGACCAGACTGAATGGTAAATTAGAATGCAATCCACTGTCGGCATTCAAATCCCAGTGCTCAAGACTTCAAAAACGCGTTGACCCGTAGGTACGGATAAAAAGCTGCCACAAATCATTCGAATGCGGGACTTGCTTGCTCGTGGAATCGCTGTTCATCACGGTGGCTTGCTGCCTATCGTCAAGGAGGTATGGCATTGGGCAGTTTGCATTCACTAGTCTAGGATGGGGCTAACTCCTATCTGCAATTCAGGTAGTCGAAATTCTATTTGCTCGAGGCTTGGTCAAAATTTTGTTCGCTACGGAGACATTTGCGATGGTTTGTCAATTGCTCTGCATCAATCAAGCCTTAGAGAAGAGACTGAATTCTCTTATTCCAATTTGTTCTATGTGTAGGGTGTAAACATGCCTGCTCGTTGTGTGGTATTTTCCGGCATCCAGAAACACGATGGTCGATCGTTCCGTGAGCTTCTATCTGGTGAATATACTCAGATGTCAGGCCGAGCTGGTCGTCGTGGGTTAGATAGCACCGGAGTTGTGATAATTATTTGCGGGAATGAAGTACCCGATGTGAGTATTTATTTGGTGCTTCTTCTTACAATGCCACTTGATGAGATGTCAAGGCCTTACGCGGTTCTTTGTTTTGTATGATTTGTTTTGTAGACGGTCGGCCTACACAAAATGATCTTAGGTCCTGCAACGAAACTCCAATCTCAGTTTCGATTGACATATAAGTAAGTTTAGCAAATGGGCTCATTAATTTATCTAACCGATCCCCTGCTAATTTCAACATGTGATCACCGGTCAAATTCAGCATGGTTTTGAACTTGTTGAGAGTTGAAGCGCTGCGAGTGGAGGAAATGATTAAAAGTAGTTTTTCTGAGAACGCTCAACAGAGATTACTTCCTGACCAACAGAAAAAGATCCTCGAGGGTGAACGTGAATTACTGGCATTGCCAGTTCAGGATGATTCGGATTCAATTCAAAATATAAGGCGTTACCACGAAGTTTCCAGTCGTCTAGTCGAATTGAATTCGCAGTTGCTTGAATCTGTGGCCAACCATCCAAGCGGATCTCGCGCCCTGTCCGCAGGACGATTGATAATATTAAACGACAATGTAGGTTTATTGACTCCCCCATCAATATACTGTGACTGTTTTCATTCAACCATTAAGTGATAGTCCTATGATCCTTCAGCATTTTCGACACAACCTTGCCGCGATTTTGAAGCCTGCCCAGTCTTTGCGTGCTAATGCCGATGGTCGCCTGGATCATACCCGCAGCTTTTTTGTTCTAGCTTTCGTCCCTCCCGCAATACGCTCAAAATCTAGTGGTACGTAATAGATTTTTATTATAAATCCGGCAAATGACTCATGTTGACTTATCTCCGTAATCTTCATAATCACTTGTAGATATTGCTGCTGATGAAGTCCCTCCTGAATGGCCACCACTCATTAAACCTGGCACCTCCGACTTAACATATGAACTCGCTGTGGTACCGATCACTTCGATAAGCCTACTGACGAAGCACATGCTCAGTTTGAATGTAAACGAGATTGCAGACCAGCATCGCAAGTCACACATGGTAGAAGCCTTGGAGAAAGTGATCTCCTTAGGGCTACTCGATCAATTGGCAAGAACGCCTCGCAACCAGCTCTTGCCTCAGTTTGAATTGGAACACCCAAAACTGCGAAGCATGGAGTTTCAGGACCTGTTTTATCGTAGAACCCAAGACCTAGCTCTTTGGGAAAATCTATCCTCCGTCGAGAATGATAAGGAATTCGAGAAACTGGTTAGTCACAAATCGGTTCTTGCTTAACATCTACGCGAGGATGCTCACCAGTCTCCATAGTACGCCGCAATACATCGAGAGAAAATAATCACTCAACGGCTAGCTCTGTGAGTCACGTCGCGTTTTGAGACCTCATTTTCAGACGTCTCCTTAACTATCACTCTCTTGCCTCGAATCTGCTTCAGCTTACAAGCAAGCTTGAGCGAGCAAAACTTGGAACTGTTACCGGATTACGAAAACCGGTTAAAGGTTCTTAAAGAGCTCAAATTTATCGATAATCGCGCCACAGTATTGCTCAAAGGGCGCGTGGCATGTGAAGTAATTCGCCAGTTTTCGTTTTCGACCAATATGGTTTGCTAAGAAACTGATTGGGATTTCGATGCAATTTACTGCGGAATTTCCCTCAGATCAACTCTTCTCATGAGCTAATCTTGACCGAAGTGATACTGGACAACATCTTGGCAGATTTCGACCCTGCGGAAACAGTGGCTCTCCTCAGCTCATTTGTCTTCCAAGGCAAGACTGAGAGCGAGCCATTCCTGACGCCTAATCTCCAACGAGGATGCGACCGACTGGCCAAGATCGCCGACCGGATCGAAGCTGTCAGCTTGAGGAACAAAGTCGCCGATCATGATCAGGCCAATTCGGGAAAAGGTAGACCGAACTTTGGAATGGTAGAATTGGTGTGGCAATGGGCGCAGGGCATGGTGAGTCGTATACATATCCCTTGCTCGGTCCATGAAAAAAGACCCTTGACTCATCTTCTCTTCTCTTCATTCTTTTGGTTTGATTCTCTCTACATAGCCATTTTCCGAGTTGATGGAGATGAGCGAGATCCAAGAAGGAGTGATCGTACGGACAATGACTCGATTGGATGAATCCTGTCGAGAGGTTCGAGATGCGGCGAGGATCATCGGTGATATTTCGTTGGGCAAAAAGATGGAAGCTTGTCAGGCTCTGATTCGCAGAGATGTAGTCTTTGTTAGCAGTCTGTATATTTGAAATTCACACTGCTTCTCGATCTCCCTTTATCGTTACTTCGGCGTTGGTCAAGGTTTTGGAAGAGAAATGGATCGGCTAGGCTTATCAATCAACGTTGAGTAGAAAGTGGTTGAATAAGATGAGGGTTTCGAGCAGCTCTCATTCTGGCTGGTTCTGGATCCGAACCTCCTCTGCTGACCGTGTCTGTAATTAAGTTGTCCATTTTGGCCATGGAGATGCGAAAAGTTTCATCGAGAGAAGACGCTCAAATTCATAAAAACTGCTCAAATCCCTTCAACCAACTCACTTCAGCATGATCTTCGAGAGGCAAGCAAATAAATCAAAACCCGTTTAAATGTGTCACAATGTTTCCCAAAAAGACAAACATTTAATATTTACAATGAACAAAGCGACACTTGCATACATAAGGAAATATACATCAAGAACTTAGAATCTAGCAACAATGTGCACCGCTTCCCGTGAATCCAATTATTTACATGTGCAGCAACGTTTCCATATGCACCCATAACCAAGTGACCAGATCTTCAGGTGATTGAACATTTTGGCACTCATCTTGCCAATGGAGAAAAAAAGAGAAAAAAAAAGCTACCATTTCTCAATATTGGAGTGTACACTTGTGGAACTGATTCAAACATTAACAAGCCCTCACATTGGGAACAGTCTGTCTTGAGGAGGTTATCAGAGGCACATCCCGTCATCAAAACATCTCAGAAATAGCAGCAGATGAAATGGACTCATGAATACAGCTACTCAATCGTCTAAGTTTTGTTACACATCAAAAATATTGAGACAACGAGGGAAAAATAATAATAATAATAATAAGATAGTCCTTCTTATTTTGAGGACAAATTTTGAGAGTGTTACCGACGATCGCGGAGAGGATGACGGATGGCCGGGAGATCATTTAGTTTGGTTCTTGTTCCAGCTAGCGACTTTCTCGTGGGCATCGATAGCTTGATGAAGCTTGATGACGTGCGGGAACTTATCGACGATGTGGGTAGGGCAGCCGTCGAGCAAGCCGGATTGGCAGCTCGAGATGATCGAGTAGAGCCGCAAGTCGGCGATCGTGAGCTTGTTTCCGGCGCTGAACGTCGTGCCGCTCTTGGCCAGATACTTCTCGAGATAGCCAAATAGCTTCGGCAACTTGTCGTCGACCACCATCTTCTTTAAGTGCTCCTTGCCCGGGTTGTCTGGCATATAGAAGACCGACATCGAGCTGTAGAAATCTGTATGTGATCGATTGTGGTAAGCGCATGACTTTGGCCGTTCACAATTGGAATGAATGAGAGATCTGGGTGGCAATACCATTAGCAAGATTGATGATCACATCCACCTTGACAGCCTCCTCGGCATCGTTCGGATAGAGACCAGTGAGCCGCCCGACATAGTGCAGGATGGCGACTTCTTGGGGGATCATCGTTTTGTCGTCGACTGTCAGCACAGGCACTTGGCCGAACGGGAAGGTCTCCTTCTTCTCCGCAAACTGCTCCCGACTCAGACGTTCGTCGGCGAACGGGATCCCGCCACAGTGGAACGCAACTCGGATCGCCTCCGCTCGTCCCTGAGTCGCTCAACATATTGTCGTTCAGCGAGATTCCAAGAGAGAAAGTCAAGACAAATCAATAAGAAAGGGTCAACATCGAATATACATAGGGTCTAGACCTTAGGGGGAGCTGAGCTTCAATCAGTCAAGAAGTCCAACGACAGACCTTGGCATCAAAGTAGGATAACTTGTAGGAAGGCATGGTTGAATACGGGTTGATTATTATTATAGGTAGCTGAGATGGACAGCGACTGCAGTTGTTCCAATGGGGAATGGTTGATGTTGTTGGGGACTAACTAGCTAGATGTAAGTAGAGGAGGGGGAAGCCACCTGGTTGTGTGAATGGTCATGATCAGTGGACTCCGCAATTTCGATCAGCAGAGTGCGCATTAATGACCAGCAAGTCGATCGGCTCGGAAGCCTAACAGCCGATCATATATCATCCACCCAAGGCCAACAGTCATCATGAACTTCATCGCCTGTAACTCCGGATATCGATCACATGCGTACATACACCCCCCAGTGCAGAGTGACGTCCCCCCAAAGCACCCCACTGATGGCTGGGAGCTATTTGAGGGCCGTCTCCTCTAAAGTTGTACACATCCAGAGGATCATCCAACCTGGCATCTCTGAGCTGTCACCAACTAGACGGCATTGCAACATTTTTTTTGGCAAAAGCTTGTCGGAAGGACTCCCTTCTGACAAGCTGGTCTGTGTACCAGCTCTTCGGGAGGGGTTCCTCCCGACAAGAGGGTATGTACAGTGGGTGGACCGTTATTTTTGGCTTCATGTTTTGGATTCCAGAGCTTCAAAGCACCAACTTAAAGTCACAAGAATTTGTGAATTGGTGCAGAATAGGTCCCAAAGAATGAATATGAAAAAATAAAAACAAAAAACAAAGTTTCAAAATTTGTGAAAAATAAAAAATAAAATTTATTTTTCTCAAAAGGTTTGAAATTTGTTTTGGGGGATTGAGAGTGCTGAGAGAAAGGAAGATTGGGATATTAGAAAAATGATTATGAATGAAAATTTTGGGAAAATTGCTTTCCAGATGGCTTCAAAGAGCTGTTGATTGGGGCATTCACCAGCCCACATTGCAGTAAAGCACTAAAATTTACTGTTTTGGCTCCAATTATCTGGACAACCAACCTGGCCAAACCTTTTTTGGTTCCAATTTTTTTCATTTATAATCATTCTTTCCATGTTCCACTCTTTCTTTCTCTCAGCACTCCCACTCCCCAAAAATCAATAACAAAGCTTTTGGAAAAAAACATTTTTATTTTTTATTTTTCACAAATTTTGAAACTTTATTTTTTGTTTTTATTTTTTCGTATTCATTCTTTGGGACCTATTCTGCACCAATTCACCAAGTCTTGTGACTTGAAGTTTGTGCTTTGAAGCTGTAGAACCCAAAACAAGCAGCCAAAAACAACGGTCCACCCACTGTACAGTATCCTCCCAGATGTTTATGTCTGGGGGTGAACTGTCACAAGTTGACTTGCACCCATGCACTAAACTGCAGTGTGTGGGTGCAAGTCAACCTCTTCATCAACCAACAACCCATCACAGAACAACCTCGCTCATCGACGATTTGGTCTCGGAACCACCTTGATTGACCTTGGAACAAACTCGGTTGACCTAGGCCTCAGGACAAATTTGATACACGGAAGCAGACATCAGTCTGTATTTCTATCATTTTTTTGTTTTTTTCTTCTTTTTTTCTTTTTCTGAGTTTTTGTTTTGTGACTTCATTAGGAACGATTTGATGGGACGTATCCGAGGACAGCCCAGCTTCACGACCGAGCAGAAGGCTTGCATTGCCGGTATATTTGCAAGGGTCATGGGCTCCGGACGAACGACGGTCTCTTCAATTGTTTCACAAGCTCGGACTTGTGGGACCATTGAAACTGCTGAGAAGAGCGACCAACCTCTAGCAAGCAAGACTTGATGCAGCTTCAACGGTCCCTTGCAAGCCACCCCAAGTCAACCCTAGCAGAGGTGATAAATATGGATTTTTTGGTTTGTATTTTTCATTTTTTTTATTTTTTTATTTCATAATCATTATACCTCACCTCTCAGCTACCCTCCTCACTTGATTTTGTATTTTTAAAAAAATTATTAAAGAAAATAAAAAAGTTGAATGATGCTTTTATTTTTTTAAAATGTAATGCATTTTGCATTTTGTTTTTTTTGTTTCATATTCCTTTTTATCATCCCCCTATCCACCACTCCACAAAAACTCAGAATTTCATGTGTGATGGGTTTTTTTTAAATAAAGTAATTGATGTGTCATAAACAACTGGGAGGATACTGTACACCAGCTTGTTGGAAGGAATCCCTTCCAACAAGCTGGGATAAATACCAGCTCTCCGGCAGGAACCCCTCCCAACAAGCTGCTATGTACACCAGCTTGTCGGGAGGAATCCCTCCCCGGCAAGCTGGATTGTGTACCAGCTCACCGGGAGGGATTCCTCCTGGTGGTGTGGCCTCTGCTTCTCTAGGCCAAGAGGAGCCATTTTTTTCTTTTCTTTTTTTTGTAAAAAAATCCATTCTCTTTCATTCTCTTGGCACCGGGTATCCCTTGAGATACCCGGATATCTGCCAGGATTTCAGGGGGGGAGGAGACGTCTGCACCCGCTCGCGGGTATCCGTTGGCACTGGCGGGTATCCGCCAGTGGATAACAGATATTCACAACCATCTCTACACAGCCAATTCCAAAAACCTTGGGGTCTTGGGAGCACTGTATTTCTGAAAAAAAAAATTAGCACCACCCACTTTTTACGCCTCACGGCCTGTACAGATTACAGTACAGGTTGTGATTTGGCTGCCGTGGCCCTGGTGTGGGTCCGGATGCCTGCCAGCTGCCAGGCAGGGGTAGGGCAAGCCTTTATGTGATGACCAGCTCCAGACCAATAAATTGAGAGGATCACAATGATCCAACTCCCATACACTCAACTTGAAAAATGTGGGAGTTGGGTACTCTTGCCTGAAGTACTGTGGCCATACAGGGCCACGTACAGGAGAGAGTGGCGCTAAAAAGAGAGGTGCAAAAAAAATTCTTCTAAAATACAGCCCTCCCAAAACCGCAAGGTTTTTGGAATTGGCTGTGTAGAGATGGTTGCGGATATCCGTTATCCACTGGCGGATACCCGCCAGTGCCAACGGATACCCGCCAGCGGGTGCAGACGTCCCCTCCCCCCCTGAAATCCTGGCAGATATCCGGGTATCCCTTGGGATACCCGGTGCCAAGAGAATGAAAGAGAATGGATTTTTTTACAAAAAAAAGAAAAGAAAAAAATGGCCCCCCTTGGCCTAGAGAAGCAGAGGCCACACCACCGGGAGGAATTCCTCCCAGTGAGCTGGTGCACACTCCAGCTTGCTCAGTAGGGATTTCT